CCCACGCATCGTGTAAAATCTTTCTCTCACAGCAGGAGACCATTGCATTTTTTCCCCTTTCGCCCTCGGAGCACATCCGAGATAGCTACAGCAAGAAGGGTTAGGCGTATGTAGAAAATCGAGTGCCACGCAAGGTAGTTTGATAGACGAGCGGGCTTTGGATGACATAGGGAAGGCCGCTGTCAAAGTATGTATGCTTTACATGGCTACTACGTGGGAGTTATGGGTCAGGACCAATTCCCCAGTTGAATTGTCCGCAGCTGGGCGCAAATCCCGATAAATAGATGAACTTGGCTCCAGTGTTCGGCACTCTGCTCACAGCCAAAATCAGCACTCCGAGATAAGACATGGAAACTTGAATTTGTCGTAGAATTCACGACTCTAGACTTGTAGATAAAATATAGCCTTCCGCATGGTGGCTGCATAATGTTTATTGGTAACGAATGGGAAAGGGAGGGTCATGTAAGTGACACATATATCCAAGGACTGGTTTCCCTCCAGTACTTGCATACCCTCCCTCTGCCCCCTTCCCAGTCGTACGCGTTCACTAGGGAAAAATTGTTCCTCAGTCCGGGATCTCGGAGGGACGGAAATGGTCAAGCAAGCTGCTCAGCGGTTCAATACCACCTTCTCCACGGTTGAAACATCCCATCTGCAAGCTCGGCTATCTAACCTGATTGGAGTATTAGCAGAGGAGGGATTATAGCTCCACGATAATCACAGGACCAAAAGGGAAGATGGGAGTAATTCGACCTGCGTATTTGTTGAACTTGATATATGGTAATGGTGGTGGACTCGGATCATGTGACCAACCTAACTCTCTCCCCTCGAGTTGTCCCCCCCCCCCCCCCCCGGCGAAAGAATTGGAGAAGCACCGTTTCTGCTCACGACGCTCAACCATGTCTTCATCGCGCCCTCGAACCGACCCGAGATTCCAAAAGAACCCGCTCGAGTCCTACTCGGACGGGTCTAGCGCATACTGGCCTCCAGGATGGAACTGGACCCGATTTAGCGCCGCCGATGACGACATCTTCTCCCTCGACGAGAGCGAGTTGACCAAGATGCGCGAAGGTCTCAAAGCCGTGCTCGGAGAGGACGGCTTCGACGAGATGATGCGCCACGTAGGGGATGCGTCCCAGAAACACAGCCGGAGAGTGGAAAGGGAAAAGGCCATCGCTGAGGGGCGGCCCGCATCGAATCCGAAATTTTACCCGCCGGACTGGTTGAAGCGGTGGGAGAAGCGGTACCGCGGGCAGACCTGGGGATTCCTGGGGTTTCGCACGGCTTTGTATGCGAAGGACGGAGACGACGAGTCGACCCGGCAGGAGCTGGAAGGCAAGTGGGAAGAGTTTAAGGCTCGGATCGAGGCGGCTTTAGCTGTGCATTTCGACTGGTTGATCGAGCGCTACGATGGCTTCGTCCCGGACACGGTTGGCGAAGCACGTGAAAAGTTCGAAATACGCTGGGTTGAGAACCCGAAACTTTCCGGTGCTTCCGCCGATACTCTGCGATCTCAGTTTCAGGATGCGATCGCTAGTCTCGAGCCAGGGATGCAGACCCAGCTCTTCCTCTGCGCCTCCCCGAAGGCGGTGGAGTCCGTCCTAACCACCCCCGATGACGATTTTCCCACCGTTCACTCCCGGCTTTGGAGGGAAGAAGCGCCGCATCTCCTTGCCGTCATAGTATATCCGGGTCGAGACAAACCGGGAGAGGGTGATGAAGATGTTGGGAATCCCTGTGATTGGTACAAGGCCGTCTTTCCCGTGGCTGTGGAGGTCCTTCCTAGCGAGCTCTGGGAAACTATGGAGTGGGGGCCCGACGCTGAGAAAATTACACGGCAGGTTCGGGGCTCAGACGAACTAGGAGGGACGATGCCGGAGAATCAGGTGGCCGGGGGATTGTGGGATATCTGGTGGGGTATGGGGCCGTCGCCGCGGACAGTAAGAAGAAGGGCCGTGATGAGAGGGATTGTGACAGATTGAGGGATGTGGAGGGTGATGCTCTACTGCTATATTCATGTGGGAAATCGTCTAAGAAGTCCAGCCCTACTCACTAGCGAGGGATTACCTGGAAGGACGATGAAGCAGGCAAGGTACTGACTGGCATGATTGATTACGGGGGAAGTTATATCCCGGGCCGAGGTACTCCTTTACTGCAGCTACCCAGGGAGTTCTTTCCCTATATTATTACTACATCGTCTTTGATTCTCTGGATCGTCATCTACCGTTAGACTTGCTCCGTGGAAAGATTGGGCAGTGGAGGGTTGGGAGAAGCTGGGGGGAAGTCGAGGCGATGTAAGGAAGGGAGAAAAGGAAGCCAGTCATCTTGGAATATCATCGGCGGCTCAGATACTCCACTGCCCTAGAAATAGCACGCGTTTGGAAACCGGATAGCCAGCGGTAGTTTGCTGAGTGCGCCGTAGTGCAAACCCAGCCTCCGGGGGCCACCATAAACTATTATAGTGACTAGTCGGCACAACTCCGCCGACCTCACGAACGTCTAATCCGAGATCTGCGCTTACGGGTCATTATTTCCCCCGAAGTGCATGCTATTCTTTCCTTCATCGTCTGCATATGTAATGGCGACTCTTGGGACTTCTAGTTGGACCATGGCGGCAGACAGTGCTGCGTTTTTAGGGGCAAAATAAACTGTCAACTCGAATCTAATCAGTTCGCAACCTTGCACCTAGTAAACCCCTGTGCACCGACGTTCATGCTGCCGTCTAGGAAGGCCCCCCTCCTCGCTATGTTGCTATGGCGCCCGCGATAGGCAGGTCTTAATTCCTAACAGCCACGAGCGAACGGATGTTAACGATTCGTGAAATTTCTTTTTCAGCATCGGATTCGTGCGAGGGCGGGGATAGGAGCGTCGAGCGCTGTCTTTCAGAGCGACAGTCTTGGAAGGCTCTCCGCAGCCAATTTAGCTCTACCTTCACCCGGCACCACGGCTATTTGTGGTGGCTCTCAGCGCTATTATCTCACTAGAAACAGCCCTAAATCCGTCTCCCCCACAGTTCCTACGGTGGCTACCGTGACCCCGACTGTTCTACCCGATTACCCAAGGTACTACGTCAACGACGAAGACTGTGCATCTTATCAGGTACAGAAAGGTGCTCGTTGACAAACGGGTGGCTGAGGATAGAAATAGGTGAGGGAAAGAGCCATGCGGTGGCTGCTACCGCGCAGTCAAAATTCAGGAATCTCCGGGCCCAAGGATGGTCGTCCAGCGGGTTGGCAGGCATTATTGGAGATCTAGACTCGTATTACATGACGCTTTGAGCTGGCTTAGCAGGGGTGACTGTCCTGGCTCCAGATTCGAGACCTTTTTAGAGTATTGTTTCCGCTCTCTTCATGAGCGGATAGCCACGTTCAACGAGCAGAGGAGAATGTCACCTTATCGAATCGGAGCCCGAACTTTCTGCTAGAGCCTCGGTCCCAACTATGTAGAGAAAAGGAAGACGTTACACTGCTGGGTTTGCACGACGACCGGACTTACAAAGTAACGCTTGCTGTAAACTATCCATACTCCTCTAGGTCGGTCTAACGCTAATAAAACAAATAATTAAAAAAGCCGTAGAAACCAGCAGGATATCCGTATTCAACAGTCCTTGCTAACACAACGATCATGGTCTTGTCCCTAGTGACAGGTACCATGGTTGTCTGTCGTCTCTCTTCGTCGGCTGAGCTACCGAGACTAAAATCTTGAAGTCGAAAATTAGTTCCCTATCTCGCCTGTTAATGGTAATCTGCTCAGACAGCACATTTTCCCCGTTCGCGAAGATTTCCAAGACCAGGGCAACCCGCCCTGAGTCTCCTTCGGTCGCCTCCATACTTCCTTTGATGCTGAGTGCCAGGGTTCCGCAAGGGGAGACGTAAGTCACAAATCAGCAAGCAGGGGCTGTGCGCCACTTCCATGATAGCACCACAATTCAGCCATAGTAGTTACACTTCTTGATCCATTAGCGCTACGAATGGTCTGGTATACTACCGAGGTAAATAATCTTTGCTATAGATCCTTATTTTGGTCATTCTATAGTTCTTCAAAATTTATACTAAATCTTATTAAAAGATTATCTAGATCAACTTCTAAAAGCATTAATAATAAGGTGCAATAACTAAGAGGTCGTAAGTGCTCTACTTCATCACTAGAGTTAGGGTTTCATCAGTAATGGTGCTTAAACCTATTCCCAGCACTGTGTAGCTTATAGTCCAGCTTATTGGAAACACAACCAGAGGGGTTTCTTCCTGTCCCTACAAGTACAACTGTGCAAATATCTGCTGATACTGAACAAGCTGTAATCTAGTCTTGGCCAAGGCTCTGCACAGTATTGACACCTTCCCTCTAGGGGTGGGCTAGAAGTGAAAGCAAAAAGAGAGCGAGTGAATGACTGAACTGCCCTAAGGAGGGCTCCAACTAAATCCTTCCAATGAAAGAACCATTCGTCGAGTCCGCGGTGGTAACGGAGAGCCTCAGTCGAGGCTCGACTTTCAAGTTCGTCAATATGAGGAGACTTGAGGTTGTACCTAGGAAGGGTACTATGTATCTGTATAGTTTGTAACGAGATAAGACATAAAAAGATGGAAATTTTCTCTTCTAAAGAATCAGAGGGTGCTGACAAGGGAGATTGGTGACAAGCCGTCACCAAGTCGCAAAGAAGACACAGTCAATAAGCGGCGAGGGGGGTGACGCAGCCCGGGGGCAGGGTGGGTGGCGGGCGCTGAGGGAGCAACTCGGGAAGGCAAGCAATTGCATCTCAGCCGGGATAGATGCCGTGACATCTATACCGTGCCTGGTGTTCCACACCGATGACTGCGTCATTAGGAGTTTGCTAGCAAGGCGGAAAGGGTTACTGTGGTGAGTATTGACCAAGTGGAAGCAGGAAGCAGGCTATCCTGCCCTCCAAGCCACCCTCCGGGAACGGTATTCAAAAAAGTCTCAGACGGGACTGAAGGAGCATCATGACCAGCACCCAGCGATCCCGACAAAGCGATTCCTTTGTTTCAGCAGTGCATGATCGTATCAGTGGGGCAGGCCTCCAGAAATCCAGCATGCCGATGCAAGAGGTCCTCAATATCGGGATGGCGCCCGCGCTCCGGGTCGTGCCATTTCCAGGGCATCTGACCATCCTCGTCCGGCTGCTTCTTCCGCAACATGAACGAGTTGGCCAGGTACCGACCATGGCACGAGAAATCACCGTACACGAGGATCTCCAACGAAGAAATACCATTGGGTCCGAATACCCAAGCCACAAAGTTAAGAAAATCCTGAGTCAGGACACGCACTGTGACAGCGTTGTTGTGGCCAGGAAGGCTAGCCCAGCAGAAAGGATCGGTGTCGGGTATCACATGCTTCCCATGGGGTCGTCCAGCAAAGTAGGCAGCGTCCACTTCCAGAGTGTCGAAGACCCACGAACCAAACCGTTCAATATCAGCGCCCGACTGCCGGGCGTGTAGAATTCGGAGGCACGCCTTATCGGCGAAGGGCTTCAAGACCTCTTGCTGCAGGTTAATCAAAGTTGTCAGCCGATGCTCTTGTAAATGACACTTAGGCTGGCGCCGGGCGACTTACTAAACGATGAGGACCACAAGCTAGGCCAAGACACTCTAGGTCCAGCTCGTTAAGCGGATTAGGGGACGTTTCGTCGAACCACTCATCGTCTCCTTCGTCTTCATAGTCTTCCTCGAAACCAGAAAGGGTAGCCAGGAAGGCGGGACTCAAGATGCCCATATCGTTAGCGTCTATTGCTGCCTCAAAAGATTCGGATTCATCATCAAGATTGATGGTCCTAGCCTGAAAGACAAACCGCTTCAGACTTTCTTTATGCCGTTGCAGAGTATTCCACAGCGTCCTTGAGCTAGTCGGACTCCAAAGCGAGAGATAAAAATCTTCAACTCCCACCAGGCTTTCCAGGCTCATCTGTATCACCTGGTCGTAGTCGAAGTCACCGTCGAGTGAAGAATTCTGCACCTCTAATGACTGAACGTGCAGTTGACCTGTATGACCTAGCAGGCATTGCAGAAAACGGTCCCATCCCGGACATTGGCGGAGGGCAAGCGAACGGAGATGTGGTGAGTTGAGGGCAGACGCCATCATTTGCGTAGCTGACCGTAGGTCTAGATTTGATAGAGAAAGTCGTTCGAGGGCGGGAAATCTGCATCTCGTAGAATTTCCAGGGATTCGCAGAAGCAATACCTTAAAGGGGTGGTCATCGAATCCGACCTCATCTTCCCAGAACTCCTCGAGCTCCTTCCAATCGAGGAAGTCAAGCTCTAATTCCACCAGATTATGGGCACAGTTCGCAAATACCCTATTAAGAGATACGAAGTCATGCTCAGTCCGTAATCCAGTCCAGGACAAACGCTTCAGGCGCTGGAACTGGTCGAGAGCGAGGGAGCGGTCGCCCAACGAGCAGCCGGCATCGGTTATCAGACAAAGGGATTCGATGCCGTTCTGATGTAGAGTTAGGTAACCGTCACAACCGAGAAGCCGTGCAGGCACGCATAGTCCCAAGTCCCACCTGCACTACGACCAGCCAACGAGGAGGGAATGGACGTCCCAGGAGAACAACGCACGTGAAGCTTCGCAACTGGCCGTCAGGGAAGCACCTTATAAGAGATACGACGCGGTCTGCTAAGCTCTCCAACATAGGATGTTCGGTGGTTGCTTCGGCGTTAGCTGATGCATAGTTTCCGTCGGGCGTATCGCAGTCCGTGGCATCCTCCGCATTCCACGTCTGGGCATCGTAATGCACGCAGCGGCGTTCGATTCTCGTGACGAAGCCAGCAACTATTCGGACACTAGTTGCATAGCGTAATGGTTTCCGTTCGCTTGAGTTTGTTTCGAGGAGCTTTAAAACACAGATGTAGTTCAAACAACTCTCGGACAATGGCCGCACGGTTAGGTCGCGGTAGAGAAAGGGAATCGTTCGGTCATAGACGGTCTTCGAGACTTGGCTCAGACTGTTGAGATCCCGTCTATCCGTGATCTTACAGACGTCCAGTTGTCAGCTGTCAACAACCCTTCGTGAGAGCAACGTTGCTTACCTGTGCGATCACAGACGCCCACAGCTCGTTCGGCAACCTTTCTAGCATGATGTTGCGTTTGTCCAGATGGCCGTCATGCGCGGGGTAAACTGGAGAATGCCCTTACGGAGAGGAAAATGCGTCTGGTACGTGAGAGGGTACTCCTGGGTACGTACTTATCTATGGGTTGCCCATTGCGGCTGCTTAGTCAGGGTGATGTGGAGTGCCGAAGCCGAATCATGCTTCTTTTTTTGCTGTACATTACTATATATAGCATCCGGAACACACTCCTTCGCACTTCTCTGTGGTTCGCGGCGCCATGTGGACGCGAAGCTTACGCCGATTTAAGACAGTCGGCCAATAAGGCTACTTTGTCATTCTACATCATTTTGATACGGACGCTACGGGCGCTACACTTTTTGCAGCCTCCCATTGGCCCAAAACTCCTGTCGGCCCGTCAAGAGCCCCCGCGCTAAGCGGTGTGCGAACCCGGTCCATTACGCCTTAACATCGGGTCAATTGGCCGGCCAAAGACCATTGGCCCGCCGTGTGGTCGAAAAGTAGCAGGGTCACAAAAAGTAGTAAACTACGAAGTCGATAATGGTCTAAATGGCCCACTGATTACAGCCGTTAACGGCAACTGTACGCGCCCAAAACAGTGACCCCCCTCGCTCATTCACCCCTGCTCAGGCTGAGGCAGGGGCTGCTCAGGTCCGAAGAAGGAAAAGGCAATTCTTGATGACCAGATTGGGGACGTGTATTCCCTGTATTAGTGAGGAGGGATAGACGACCGGCGCTCAGATTCTATTGAACATCTATAAGAGTCTTCTATAAGAAAGGAGTGTTCCGCGAATAATGCTTCTAGCTTATCACAGTCCTGTTTTCAACCATCTATCCCGAAAGAGATCCCTTTTTAACTAGAATACCACGTTCAATTTCAGTCCGGTTCTGTAAATCCTAGCCAAGAGAATGAAAGTGGTTCCAACGACGCAAAATACGCCGGAAAATATTTTTATACCCAGCAAGCCTGTTGAGGTATCCAAGATGGCACCGTTGATCGGATTTGTCGTCAGTCCACTGATGGACGAAATAAACATGACGAGGCCGGTGCGGAACCCGATCTCGGGTAGAGGAGAGATTTGCGCAACAAGAGGCGCGATGAGAGAGACGTAGGCGCCCGAGAAGAAACCGAAAAGGGCAGCAAAAGCAATGATACCGCCGGTCGTGCTGGAGGGGATCCACAGGGCAAGAATCCAAATGGCAGTGGCGTAGCACACGACCACGAAGATGTTGTATCGGCCAAGTTTATCTCCCATGACGCCCGAAAAGATTCGACCGAACAAGCTGGTAGCGTTGAGGATAGGGATGAGGTATAGAACGAGATCCTTATCCATACCTGCCTCGAGGGCCTGGACGGGTAAATAGTTGATGGGAACGAACATGCCGAAAGTGAAACAAAAGAACCCGCACGCGACGAGGAGGAATTCAGTCTCTCGAAAAGGTTTCGCGAGCTGGGCCCTCGTGATCTTTTGTGGGCGAGGTGGGTGGTTGGCTCTGATCGTCAGATTTGCGATGATAAGAAGGCCAAGAATCATGAAGGCGCAGATTCTCATAGCCCAACCATAGCCGACTTGTCGAATGAGGCGGGTCACCATGATGGGGAAGATGACACCGCCAATGCTAGAACCGGTGGCGACAATGCCAAAGGCCGCGCCTCGCTTTTTGTCGAACCAGCCGTGGATCACTCCCAGCGCTGTTTTCCATTGTGAGCTAAAGCTCCTCATCTTCTTTTTGCCGGACATGGGACGGGATCTTTCCTACCTGGGTGGAAGATGGCAGCGACGCCAAGCGCCGAGCACACTCCCTGGGCCAAAAGAATCTGATAATACTGGGTGGCAATAGAGGCCATCATCAAGCCGAAGACATGAAGGAAGCTGCCAACAAGAACGAGGTAACGGGGTCCAAAATTATCAAAAATGGTCCCAACAACAGGACCCTGGAAAGTCAGCAACGTGTCGCGCAATGAAGGCAGTCAATTGACGATAAAATTGCCTACCATGGCCATTTGGAAGAAAATCTGTAGAGAGGGGATCCAAGAAATTGTACTGGGGGAATAGGTGTTGAGAAGGTCATTCTGATAGTATTCCTGGAAGGCTCCGACGCCTGCTCGTCACTCATTGTTAGCAGTCTTCTTTCTATTCCCCCTTCCCTCTCGCGCGCGCATGGCAAACAAGAAGGAACGTTTGGGGTGGGCAACGCACTGTTGACCCAGCCGAAGCTGCAGAACAGAACACACCACCCGCCAAGGACAACCAACCAAGCAGCGGGGCCTCCATCAGGTGCATCACTGTGAGGCAGAGATGTTTCCGCAGCAGTGCCGTCTTCTAAATCGACTTTGTCTCCCGAGTTGGCTTTCTCCTTGGTCGGGAGGCTATCAGCAAAATCGGAGCCTCCATCCGGCTTGGCTGGGGGATTTGGGACGGCCGTCATGTCAGAGTCGGAAGACGAGAGAATCTTGTCTCCACGTGCCATCTTTGGGAAAGACTCGGTAGAGCCAATCTAGTTCCGATAGTGTAGCAGAGGCAATCACAAAGAATTACAACAGGTAGAATAGCAAGAAGCCAAAGGGAATCTTAATAAATGAAAGATGGTGATTGGAGTCATACGCAAGTTAGATGTACTTCGGAAACTGAGTCCTGAAGGGATCATTGATCATCGCCCAAAAGGGGGACGGACATGGAAGAATAGAATAAAATAAAATAAAATAAAATAAAATTTTGAAAACTGCCAGGCCTCTTATTCCGGGGAACAAACTAGGGTAATAGCGCCTCTGCGGCTCTGGCGGCTTCTAGTGTTCGCTCATGAATGCGACGACACTGCTTTATTATTTAGTTTGCGTGCTCGGGATCAGAGACAACATCATTGATTTGCAACCCAACCAAGGACATCAACGCAAGTCGCAATGATTTTTGTGACATGTCGCCCACTCTCCCTCTCAGCGGAGTTAAAACACCGGAAAGCTCGGAATTCCATCAGGATGGGCTACTTGTAATTCCCCGAGCACAGAGAGGCCTCGACGGTGGTGATTTACTTATGTCCGCCTCCTCCCACACAACAGCTCGGCGGCATATTATGAGCAGACGCAAGGTCAAATTCGGGCTCGGCCTTCCCACCCATACCCGCGACTTTTGCGGGTCCAGACCCCTTGTTGATTGATGGACCCGCCTCTGGTGCGTAACTAAAGCCAAAAATCATGTCCGATTGGTTGGCAGCTCATCACCATCCTGGCTGCAACATCGGCGTCGGCCCTTACTTAGCGCCGATGCCGACCAAACCTCTCAACCAAGCCGTGAAGGCACACGTGGGCGAAGAACATAAACAACCCCCGACCCACCTCTTTCAGCCTGCCCGAGAAAAAACAATCGTTATGTCCGAAAGCTGTGGTCTTCTACATCCCCAACAAGCGGAGTAGTACTGGTATGTTTGATATCACCGCATAGCCAACAAATCTATCTGGCAAGCTATCCGCCCACGCTTAAAAAAAAAAAAAAAAAAAAAAAAAAAAAAAAAAAGATGCTGCGAGCCAATATCAGAGCCAGGAAGGACTAAAAGCTGTCTCGCAGAATCAGCAGGCCCCGGCAAAAACAAAACCACCTCCCCGAACGGCGACGCCTACCGCGGAGCGAACGACCATGGCCCCAGAACCGGAGCGCGGAGGTCTCGGCTCCCGCGATGAGTTTCTATTGTGAAAATGGTTTTGAACCAGTCAGATCCCCGACGTCTGATTAACATAAGATCCGTCGTCTTCCAAAGCTGATAAGTCATGCATCTGTAGCCGTGGAGAGTCTTTACGAACGAGGTCAACACCCTGCGGAAAATTTATCTACGTTGCCACTCCGAAATCCCCGTCTTTACCACCATAGATAATCCTAGAAAAGGCATCATTTGACCTAATCCTCTAGGTTTCCATAGGTAATGCTATCGCTACATAGCCTCCGATTCCACCATGGCACCTAACGTTCTGGAGGAAGAGGTCACTCCAACCTTGTCCGATTCAAACCTGAGCGGGGACAGAACTCTGCAAATGCTGACCTCCTAGAGAATCTGACCCCTGGGTTGTTTCAAGCTCTGATGATTTATATACTACGCTGCCGATGCTGAGCATTTGTTCCCCCTCATGGACGTTGGTCTGTTGAGGGAGGATGTGGCCAGACCACACCATGCCTGGCAGCGGCCCCAGGCGAGGAGGGAGGAACAGAAATAGTATTACAACACGGCCCAGGAACTGACTCTGCCACATTGCTTTGACCTTGACATGCTCGCCAGCAACCAGCACATTATGTACCGATTTTACAGTAGGCATTGCACACCGAAAGGCGTTGCATGGTGTTATGTTTGTGATGTAAGGCTGTTTCTGAAACAACGCGGCTTGGCTATGAGCACGCAATATTAAGGATCATGGACTCAAGGGCAGCATTGGCTCCCCCAACCCTGCTTTCTTGTATTCTAGATCTTCAATATGAATCCTGTACCTTTCTGAAGTGTACTCTTGCAATTCTCTTACCCTATCTGACGATTCTGATCTGCATTTGCACATACGACTTAGAGTCGCCCTGTCTAGTCTTCATCCTCCCGCGATCTTCCTAATTCGATTCTTAACCGAGCCGAACAAATACTCAATCAGATTCAAGCCAGGAGAGTATAATAGTTAGTATTCTACTATTACACCTGCTTTGGCGAGCATCTCTTTGATCCTCCTAGGGCCTACTTTCGTGATGTTACTAGATGTTTGTCATTCTACCGCAGATCTGCTCTGTTATAAGTTATTAAACATCTCGGCATGACACAGTTTGGATGACACAGCGAAGGCCACTGTCACAGTATGGTTTACATGGCAACTGCCTTGGATCGTGGGTCAGGACCAATTCCCCGGTTTCAACCGTACGCAGTAGGACGCAAATCCCGATAAATAGATGAGCTTGGCTCCAGTGTTCGGCACTCTCCTCGCAGCCAAAATCAGCACCCCGAGACAGCAAACTTGAATTTATCGTAGAGTTCATGACTCTGGACTTGTATATGAAATAGCACGCCTTCCGCATGGTGGTGATGCATCACGTTGGTAACGAATGAGAAAGGGACGTTGCTGCCTGCTTCAAGCTCCAATCGCGAGGTGTTCTTGAGCTTGGGCGTCAAAGGGGCGGAGTGGAGTAAGCTCATTGTGGGACCAAATTTCGTTGACCGCTAAAACTTCTGGGCGCCGAAACTGGGGTGGCTTCACCAACCTGCAGAGTTCGGTTGCGGGTTCAAGTTCGCGATTGCACGGTCACACTGCTGCCTGTTCTCCAACTGTCCAAGGGCTAGCCGTGATCCGAGTTGTCAGATATACATACTCCGCTAAGGTTTGAGAAATGCGAGGCTATAAGATAGGGTTACATTGACCCGCATCTGCCTAAAAATGCCTAAAATTGCCTGGAAATTCGAATGAAAGTGTGGATGATTATCTCCTCCAATTGATATGGCTAGCCATCAACACGATGTCGAGCCTTGCGTAGCGTGCAGTGCAAAATCCGTTGACCTGCTCTCGAGTTCTTACTATTTAAGACGTAGAATCCGTCACTTGATTCCCGAGATGAATGCTCTAAACCTCTCATTCATCTCCTTCCTTCACAGATTATCTAGAATCCAATCAGTCAGATTTGCACAAGGACCGAACTCTGTATCTCTACTCGGAAAACCGCAGCTAAAATGTCTCTCACTCTTGAAAACGTCGCGAATGGGGAGACAGTTCATCAGGTGTGTGGTGTTTACTCACTAATAGATTATTCGAAGACCTTGTGCTGAGTGGTAATTTTCTTTTCAGCGCTGCATCATAGTCAGAGGGACTTACAGCTTGGAGGACGACACTCTCGACTCGTTTGCAACCGTCAACATCCGTGACGACTCTGGAAACTCCATCTTCCCACCCCAGCGCTGGCCCATCGTAGATGGACGCGTCAAGATCATTTCTTTGCTCTCACCAGGTGCTAATAACCTCACCATCACTCGAGAGCACTCGTCTGGATCGATCACTCAGACCGTCAAGCTCAACTACATCCCTCTCCTTCAGACACCGCCTTTGCATTTGGCCATCATGGTTGCCAAGGACTCTCCCTTGCTCATTGACTGCCCTCCGGCGAAGCAGGGCGCCTTCTCCCTGGCCCATTCCTCACTCGATGCGGCAGTGGCCAAGTTCCGCATGACCGCATACATGTGGCAGGCCCTGACAGCCGAAGACATGCGCATGAAGGGCCTCGGCCGCCGGTCTTTCCGGCTAGAGGAAGAATGGGGTGCCGACACTACCAGCTCGAGCTTCGTCACAGCTCGACATGACGCTGCGCTTCACGACAGCGGGGCCATGAAGTCAACGGCAAAGATCCACATCGTCCGATCGGAACGAACAGTTGCGGAGCTTCGCAGCATGGACTATGCTCAGCAAAACAAATCCGCACGGAATCGTGACAAGTTGTTTGACTTCTTCAAAGAAGCCCTTGCTGCCCACGGTTCTCCGTTTGAGACGTCCGGATATCCCATTGTAGCTGGCCTCATTCTCGACTCACACTACTCCGTTGAGAAGAACATAATTCTTGCCCATGCAGCCCTTGGATGCCACGACGGCACCGGGTTGTCGCTCGGGATTATGGGCAGCCATCTCACTTATTCTTGGCCGCGATTCTTAGAAGAAGTTTCTGATTGCCTCCTCGACGACCGTAACCCAGGAGAGATGGTCGGCAATGATAACGGCGAGTGCGGTAGCTTCTGGGAAGCCTGCGCAATCGGCCAAGGTGCGTTTCTTCACGAGGTCGGCCACGCCTTCGACGCGCCTCATACTACCGGCATCATGGCCCGGGGCTACTCGCAAGACTGGCCTCGTAATTTTGTCGTTCGTACCGCGTATTGCACAAGTCGCAGCACAGAAGGTATCGTCGTCATTGACGGTGAAACCCGGAATCAGGCGAGATGGGATCTTCACGATGCACTCTCGTTCCGTTCACTCCCACACTTCTGGTCCCCGGGAGATCCTAAGATGTCTAAGGAGACGCGATCTGCGGCACCGACCATCAAGGTCGAAGGTGCTGAAAGCGAGAAATTTCGCATCGAGATTTCGTGTGCGGCTGGAATCGCACAAATCACGTTCAATGACACTGAGGAGCCGTCCCCGAGCATCGCGGCTCCCATCAATACTGTCACCTACACACTCGAGTCTCTTCGAAGCCGATTCCATCAGAACGAGCCCCTAAAGCTTTCCGTTCTTGGAATGAACGGCAAGTCGAGAACGATCAAAGACGCGTGGAGATTTTTTGGTGGGCGTACCTTCGTACTTATCCCAGGCACGAAGATTCTCCTCCATAAACAATCAGTCATGAGCAAGCAGCTCGAAGAAACTGACGGGGAGACCGAAGAGCACTTCTGGGAATGGGCTACACTCTTGACTAGGAAGAGAAAAGATGGTTCCATCGAGCATGCGACCAAGGTTGACATCCGCACAGGATGTATTCTCGACGGTGCTTATGTTCATTTTCCAGACGGCACTCAGATCAATTGTGGCCCAAGGGTCAGTCCAAGCGGTGGTGACCATTATTTCGGAGGCCATGCCGCCGAGGCACACGATATCCCTAAGGGTCAGGATATTGTAAAGGTTGAGGTATCTAGGGAAGATGATATTCTGAGGGGCATCCGCATGACATTGCGTAATGGTGTCACTTGGGGTGCTCTCAGTGGCATGAGCGATCAGCCAGAGACCCTTACGCTTGGTGAGTTCCTTCCCCCCTGTACAATTTCCGTTTCTGAGAGAATACGACTAACAATGTGATACTTTAGAACCACCTCCCGGAGAACGCGTTATGGGCTTCTTTGGTAGGAGCTGGTGGGGACCGAATTTCAGCGGGCTGGCAGAGTTTGGCATCATTACGGCCCCGAAGGACTTAGTGCTCCCAGATGTCGTGTACGATATGGATGAGCTGAAAAATACTGATGGCGGGATGGACGTTGACAATCTTCACCATAGCGAGGTGTCATCCGACGACGAATATGACGAGTGAACTGGGGGAGCCGGCACAGTTTACGAAGGCCATCACAGTGTCCACTCGACATAACTAGTCTATACACCATACAATACACTGTAACTTCCCTTCCTGTACCCGTCTATCTCCTTAACGTTCTCGGAGTCGATTCAAGCACCGCTCCAAGACATAACCTTGATTTGATTTTAAAGGAGTGCGAGTCGAAATATATTCAAAAGGAGCTCGAGATGCTCGTCTATCTCATCATTGGCTCGCGCAATCTCAAACGCGAATGCGCCTAGCCACGGCACAGCGACTTCTGGACATTGCCGCCGAACTGTCGTCTTCCGAGAGGGCTATCTGTATCGAGGAGCACATGAAATCCAGACTATCAAGGTAAGGAAGCTGCCAATTTCTCAACTCCATCATTGTCAGTCTCGGGGCTCACAGAGGAACACTTTGCAGTATCCTGTCAGCGTGGGACCTTAGCAATACCGAGGAGCAAGAAACCGATCACAATCCTGAGGAGCATGAATGCAATTATCAGTTGGAGGTGGTGCGACACCCGCGGCAGGGAGGCCTCGACGTGTTTCTCGGCTTTCAAGAACCATCCCTGCGGGAGTACTTCTTAAACTTTCCAGATCAGACTGAGCATAGCCTTCGTCTTTCTAGGAAAGATTTCCACCTCAAACTGTTGAAGGTGTCCATAGCCGCTCTGACACATTCGGCAGGTGACCCGATCAGCGGCCCGGAACAACCGGTTAACGACGAGGCAGACACGGAACTGTCAACGCTAGCCATGGAATTCTGGCGCCGAAGTCTCGCGGAACTCGCAAGGAGCAACGATGACGATCCCGACCAGCTTGGAAACGTACAAGACTTGAAAGAGATCCTTGAAGCGGTATTCAGCTTGCTCAACAGCGTCGTGGCGGCTAGAAAGTTTGAGAAAGCCACAAATATACGACGCCACGCCAGAACACATCAGCATGCTGGGGCCGACTCCGGAAGCCGTGGACGAAACACTGCGGAACTTGGGGGCCCCTGGTGGACCGGGCGCAGCGCACCCCAGGCTCACCACAGGCGACGGATCCATCCAACCCGGAATGGATTTTCGGCACCGTTGCCAAATTGCACCGTTGTAACTGGTTAAAGGCGATGGCGTCTCCCGCCGCATTTGCCGCTTTTCTCTTTGCTCGACACGCCTACAGTTCGTTCACACCACCAGCGGATCCGCCGGCGGGACACAAGTCGGAAAATATCTCAGAATTTGAGCGGGTCATGCGCCTCTATGCGTCTGCGGTGGGCCGCCACGCGTACCATCAGATGTCAATGGCGGCTTTCTTTTCTGGTGAGACCGGGGTCTCCAAGACTCTCGCGTCCGAAGGACTCGACGCAAAGCAGACAGCCTCGGCAGCAGACAAAGCAGAATATGCGCGGGATACGTTCAATCTCAAGTATCGAATTGCGAGAGCAAACTTCAGCCTGTTGGAGGATGATACGAATGCCTGGAGACCGGGGGCCCTCGGTACCCTATCGGCTTCCTCCAAGGCCCAACTCTAACAGAAGCTCGAGGAGGGTCGAAGCGACTTCGTCGATGCTTTAGAAAGCGCTCCCGGGGACCTAGAGGGCGATGCGGGCCACAAGTTTATCTGCAACAGTGCCTATCAAATGAAGGCATTGGTTGAATCAGGTCTCCAGGGCCGCCAGGGCGATGCTCTCGCTAGCATGAAGTTAGCGAAGCAGTTCCAGACGGAACAGTCCTACGTGCGTTACTTTAACGAGCTTGTAACCACTTTGGGCCACTGGAACGAGTGGGAGAAGATCATTGAGCTTCTAGAGCTCATCGATAATCCGCTATCGGACAACTGCAGCACGGCGACTCACAGACTCATCCACCGCGCGGCGAAGGCGTGCGACCGGGGTCCGACGGTGGATGAGCTCTATCACAAGGCAACCTGCAAACCCGACACGTACGGGCCTCATCCTATTGAAACCAGAACCTACTGGGCTTTGTTCAAGCGCTTCGTCTTGAACGACGCCGAAACCGCTAGAGCCACGTTGAACGAAGTCATTGACTCGAGCCACGAAGATGTAGACGTGGTTGATAGGGCAGCCAAATATCTTGCCAACATCGTCATTGATGACTTTTCGGTTGCTCTCAACCTGGAGGATAAGGAAAAGGCGGTCGAGGAAATGGAAGAACTCCAGGACAGACTGAAAAAGCGGTTCGGGTTCGAATTCGAGGCCGGATTGTCGCCGGCAGCGGCGCCCCTAGCCATCACGCGGCGCCAGATGGGGCCGGCGCGTGTGTTCAAAGAGCACCTCGACACGGCGTTCGAGAGCTGCCTCGACTCCCTGCGTGACAATTGGGACGGTAACGACTTGAAGGGCTTCAGAAACCTCGCCAGGATCATGTTTCTCTTTCCAAGTCTCCGCCTAGATGCCAAGGCTGCACTCTACTGCCGGTTCTACGAGATCACACTCGACTTTCAGGTGTTTCGTCTTCAGGATACTGGCTATTACCCCATCATATGTGACATGTGCCCGAAGCGCGTGCATAGTCCTGGGTGCTGCGATCTGTGCGCCAATGGGGAGCACGACGTCCGCTTCCGCCATCACTATGTCTGCCTGATGTGCAGCAGCGTTGATCTGTGCCACGAATGCTATGAGTCGCGCTCGAGGCCCCAGACTAGAAGCGACGTCGATGTTTGCCCTCGCTCCCATGAGTACATTGATGTCTTTGTCCACGATTGGCTGGACATTGAGGAGTGCGGTACCGACCTGGTCCTGAGGTACGGGGGCACCAGGGTGAAATTTACGGACGAGTGGCTCCAAGGGCTCGAGAAAAAGTGGTATGTGGCCTGGGAAGAGTACTGGAAGACCGGGAAATAGAGATATCATACGTCGACTACTCTTTTGCGGGCGTTAGAGCCGGGCCAAGGCAGGAAGTCCGTCTTTCATTGTCCACCAGAATGCAAATGCCGATCAATTTACTTTATATTTGACTCTACCAGAGCGTCTTGCGGGCCATCAATGTAACCATCCAAGGCTGGATTCCAAGCCCAATGCAGCAGTGCCCCAGGGTCGGATTCAGCACCTCATCCTTTCCGCTCCGCGCTGGCTCACTGTCCTCACTTGCAACCAGCATCACGGTATTCTATGCATATCAGCTCCAGTTCTTGAAAGTACATGGTTTTACCTACCTTGTAGTGTAGCCCATTTCCAGTCCATCTCCAAGAAGACCGCTTGCTAATCTCCCCTTCTCTGGCTGGCGTAAAGACATAACACTTCAGCTTCGCACTAATAAGCACCCGATATCCATCGTGGACATAATAATAATCGGCAAGTTACGTTTTAGATCCGGTTGAGGGAAGAGTACAAGTTTTATAAGAGTCAGGAAGTGAAATAAAAGCATTGATGGATGGGAATTGTGATGCTGAGTATTATAAGTTGATGGATGAAATGGATGGAGGAAGCCCGTGTATTTATAGACGACTGAACTGAACTGCGAGAAGCTACTGAGGTATAGTGCGGTCGCCTATTTGATTTTTGTACGATGAAGAGGAAAGAGTGGTCAGGAGACATCTACGCCTTGTTTTGTGCAGGCAGCAATGTAGCATAATTCTTTCTCGCAAGCGAACATCTAACTTCCTGCGCCCTTCCTTGGCTCTACGATGCTGACAACGTTCAGCACGGGAGTGCCCTTGTTCTTTCTCGTATCTGCCCTCTTAATAAGTTTTTAATCGCCGGAATACTGTGGAACTATTTCTGCTCGCATTTCTTCCATTCTAAACTTGAGTACAGATAATACCGTGGTCCGACCAACACCCATCTGTAAGAACTCGAAGCAAGATCGCAACTCTCCGCCGGAAATATCCTTACAAGGAACTACGGAAGGATGAGGAGGCGTAATGGGCATTTCCAAGGCAACCCATTTCCGATGTCGCCGAGGGTCCATGTAATCGTAGCCCTCGCAGTCCGTTGGCAAACATCGAAACTACTTTGGACTTTACTTCATCGCACTTGACGAGCCGGATTCTGGAGTAGAGTAAATGTCACGGGGACTAAGGTGGTCTGTGAAACCTTCGTTTGTACTTAGATGTTTCACAGGCGGATCTTAACTTCGTGTGACGGCCTTGAGTTCGCGTCTTACTTGGGTTGAGATTGATTTTTGACATCCATAGACCTTGCGATATCTAGCGGTTCTCGCCCCCTGACAGCTACCTACCCGTCAAGAGAACCGGTTGATGTTCTCTTTAATCCAGCCGCGAAAGTCCTGCATTTCCGGATATGCTGCGCGGCATGCCTCCACACTGCCACCGTATCCTTCCTCGGCGAACCACTTAAACATATCTCCGACCGTGCCCTTCAAGACAAATTTCACTGCGTTGGCGATAGGACACGGGGCCATGGCCATAGAGTTTCCAGTGACGTCCCTGAAGATGCAGTCTGCCTCGGGCTGCGTCAATTCGTCGCCGACCAGAGTCACGGCCGAGTTGTGGTACTTGTCTGGGTACCGAATGCTCTGTGCCGCGAACCAGCCGATATCCTTTGTCGAAACCAACTGTAACTTCTTATCGCCGAGCTGCTCCCACATGCGGGCAAAACCTCTGCCATGGATATCGGCGGATAGATTATCGAAAAAACTCACTGGCCGCAGAATGGTGTACGTCATATGCTGATGGCTCTTCAGGGCTCGCTGCTCCAAGTGCTTCTCAATGGCGTGTTTGGCGGCAAAGTTTTTGACAGTGGTTGGATTCTTTGGAGAACGCTCAGGGCCACCACGATCACCGGACGAGTATACAAAATGCTGCACTCCATTCAAGATGGCGGCATCGATCAGGGCCTTCCCCTGCTGCTCCTCTGCGTCTGAATTAATCTGGACGCTGTAGACAGCATACACTGGGCCAACCTGGTCGAAGATTGCCTCGGGATCGGACAGGTCTCCAGCAATGACAGAAACATTGGGTAGAGAGGCAAGTTTAGATGCCCTCGGGCTCGAAATATTGCGTGTGACAGCGACAATGTTGAAAGATGGCGAAGCAGTTGCCGTCAGCAAGTGATCGATGACGGCGCCACCTTGTTTGCCCGTGGCACCGGTTACGAGCACGGTCTTGTGGGAGGAAGGCATGATTAGGGGTTCTTGCTTGTAATGAAAGTGAATGATAAACAGCAAGTGCTGGAGTTCCACGAAATTTAGGGCGATGTGGGGTGTTCAGGGATCAATTGCGTTTGAGAATCGAGGATGGCTATAAAACACCACATTGCCCTGCGAAGGAGGGATAGTTTATATAGTTAATTTCTCCTCGTCGCTGTATTTCCTGAAAGGCGCGTAAGAGTACACTACTTGGACATCTCAGCTCCGAACCGGTTCATCGTCAAGGCCGTTGGGATGTTATTAAGACGACTCAGTTAACGTTGGTGTAAACTCAACTCACACATTTAGGTGCAATTGGGGCAAGTTTCAGGGTCGGAGTCGGTGAGATTATAGTGCCGACCTTCTCGATGTCGGTCGGCAAGCACGGCCAGCCAGAAAAGCGACAGCTGAATTTCAATACGACCCTGGGCACTAACATTACGGGTCCGAGTGCGAAAGCGAGAGAGAGTGTTCTAATTTGATAAACATATCTAGTATATCTTCTATTACGCGCCGAATGCGACAACCCATGATCGACAGCTCTCGCTCTACATGTGCAGTTAGAAAAAGCTCTACGGTTAAGCCTCCCTTTTCTTAAAATCAATGAAAGGGCCCTCCAAATAACCTAGTAAAATACCCTTTAAACTATAACTCCCCCTCCCTTTCCCTCCCTTTCCCTCCCCCCATCCTCTCCCCTTTACGCCTTCCATCAACTTTGTCCACAGCACCGCCCAACTTCCTAAAGTCCATCTACCAAAATATACGTTTGCGAGTGTTAATGTCAACCCCATCACCGCAAAGTTTTTAGCGATATGCTGCTGCGGCCCAGTAGAGAAAGGCACAAAGCTCTCTGTAAGCGTCTTGATGTGAGCCTTCTCCTTCTCAATGTTGTCGTCATCAACGCCGTGGTTGATCTATCGCTCGGCCTTGTATGTGTAAGGATTGTCGAAGACTGATGGGTTGTGGTGTTGAGAGAAGATGGTAGCCCCGATATTGAGGGTGGCGGGGATGTACTCGCTGTCGATGACGCAGCCGCTGGGCTGCACGCTCTGTCGCCATAGGTTGCGGCGCGACAGGGCACATGTTTCTCACCGCATTTCTATCTCGCGGTTCAACTACGGCCTGAGTCAGGGCTCGCTTTGACTTGTAGTAATCATACACAAGGACAATATCACAAGCCGTGACAATGACGAAGATCAAGGCAGCGCCATAGGCAGCCGAGGCCACACTTCTATAGTAAATCATGCTAATATCGTACAGGATGCGGTCGTAGCCGCCAAACTTTGCGAAGGAGGTTTAGAAGCCCTGGACGTTGTCGGCAATATCGGCCCCTACAGCGATCAGGAAGAAGGCCACGATCATCTGAAGAAATATGGACACTAGAATACTACCCTAGGAGTCTTGTAGCATCCTCGGTTGGAAGGCCATTACAGCTCTGATGATACTAGCAAGGCAGCAGAGATGGTCGCGATCAGCGAGAGGTAAAGGAAGTTACCTTGGAGTGTTTCGAAATTCTTATCTAGGATAATGTCGGCATTGTTGGTGTAGTTAGATCTTGAACAGTCTTGTAGGACGATAGCAAAGCGCGCGGTGGTTAATGTAAGGAGGGTGAAGAGTAGGATCGCTAGGCGACACTAGATGACATATCTAGAAGACATCGTGGAGGGGGAAGGTTGTTGATAGAAGGTGTGATTGCCCAAGGGTGATTGGTGTTAATAAGTGTACAGTAAGGTAGGGGGAGTAGTTAAGGTAATTGGTGAGGAGTGAAGTGTGAGGAGACTAAAGACTCTGAACCTGACTCTTTATATACGTTTTTTTCTTAGCAAGCTGGCTAGTTGGATATTTCTTCCAGAGGCCTCTCTTAGTATCGACGGCTCAAGTCGAAACCGGGCTTACTCAGTTTGTCCATGTCTATGTGAACGGGTCCCTGACATGATTCACGGCATGTGGCTAAGCAACTATAGGGGTTCCTTTGAAGTCGGGTTAGTTTTTCTTTTCGTTATACTTCTTCAAAATGGATCAAGTAAATCTATTACCGCCAGCCGGTTATCCCATCTCCAGGCTCAGCTAAAGGGCTCACTTAAATCTGGTAATGTAATAGCTTCCTAAAATTGGGCTGTAGATCCTTGCATTGTAGATATGGCAACTACAGCCGAGGTGCTGCTCGGCTCAGACTCCTGGATGGAACACCGTTCTCATACCTAAACCGCGGACGTGCGGTGTTTGTGACGGGAGTGGTCAAGAATGAGAATAGCTAGTTTTCACAAAAACTCTCCTATGTGTTGACCTGGCGTAGGACGGTCAGTCAGTGGTAGCAGGTCAACGGGCAAGTGGCTATGGGAGAGACAGTTGCTGGACGTGGGGTTAAAGTGATTTTTTTTTTCTTTTTCCTCCTTTTTCTTTTCCTTGAGGCCCAAATTTAAGGATGTTCGTAAGTTTTTCATAATCATAGTCATCATTTGAGACGGACCAGTGAAGCTATGCGAGCAACATCACACATGAGGCTTTGAACTGTATGGTTGTGCAGCCAATGGTTGCACTCCCGACAAAAAACCGCCGCGAAGCCCCCACAAGAACTGGCAGACGTCGGATCGGTTGATCAATGGGACTCAATGACGGGAACACATCAAAGGGAATTCCGCTGGAGAGGGAACTGAAGGTCAGTTTCACAGCTAATTTAAAACGTAAAAGTCACGCAAATGCATGAATAGAAGTCGAATCCCAAGTCTTCAGGACGGGGCTGGGAACGGAACGAAAGGGCAACCGCAGCATTCCGCCTGGAACCCGGTTCACCAGTGCCACCGTTTTTTTAGGATCCAATGCCATTTTGCCATCAATGGTCGGCACAAATTTGCTAGGGACGTATCTCATATTGAAAGGCATGCGTCCGTTCTTGCCATGGGAATCTGACGACCAATACCGCACGCATTCTCTGGCAAGCGATTGGGAGTTTCATTCACTCATCACATTGACTCCTCCGGCGTGCGTGGAAATCAACTTCATCAGGCTTCCATGAATCCACAAGGGTTCACGCTGTCCGTTGGAGGAGGTTACAGTGTGATAATCTGGGTTAGAAGGGGGCCGACACTGATAATACCATGGTCTAAATCGCGACTCAATCTCGACCCCAGAGGGCTCTTCGAAGAAACTTGCCGTTTCAAGAACGTGGTCAACTTCCAAATCAGTAAACCAGCGCGACGTGGCGGATGCATTCTAATTCAGCCCCAGCCCCGCTTCTCTTTTTCAACGCATCTCACGAACTGGCGGCTGGGTGGATGAGTCGGGCTGTGTAAACGGATCAAATCGGGTGGCACGAAGCAGTACTTTGTACTGGATCACTCTCCTTCTCATATCCGCAAATCACTACCAAAGTCCCAATTACGTCGTTGTGTCTTGGTAACGTTACCCTCTGGCATCTGCTATGTGAGTGACGTCGGGGAAGCGGCGATTCCAATGTCAAGATTAAGCAACAAGCAACCACCAACGAAATAAAAGAACATGGAACCGGGAGATTCGGGGTGGCCCTCAGTTTCAGTGCACAAGACACATCGACATTCTGTATTCCGGATCAGGACACGATACTTGGATGGGCGGCCTGAAGAGTTGAAGAGCCAGAGTTAGAGAGTCAAAGAGTCAGAGAAGATGGACACTAGGTCGTGTTATGCCGATGGAATCCTTGTGTCTGTGTCTGAAGTGTAGAATTACATGAGTTACATGACACTCGTGAACCTCGAGAGACGTGGGTTACGCCGTCGTCAAGTTTGGACAGGGTGGTCGTTGCATGAGTGACAGAGGACAACACGTGCAGAGAGCGTTAGAAACGCGTACCTGCATCTCTTGACGGTTCGCGTCCGTGTCTGAGACTTCTGAGGGCATGGCGATTTTTCTAGCAAGCGGAGCCCAACTCTATCGGAGATCCGAAGCGAGTCCGGGATTCTGCGCCTTGGCATGTCTCATTATCCTGCAGAGTGGCAGAGTATCCAGAGTTTGGAGCCCATCCCCTAATACCAGTACTTGTCGCACTGTTTCTTTGCAATGGGGCTCATTTTTGAAAGTTTTTTTGAAGTACGAAGTACAATTGTACTCGGTATCCCAAGCCTGACAGTCAATTTCGGTATGTTCCGCCCGTTGACTAAGCAGAGGGGATGCAAGATCAATTGGTTCCAAAATCTCACGTGTTGTGCAATGGAGCCTGGCGACTTCGCAATCTGACGATCCCACACTTATTTTCCTCGCGGCTTGGCTTTTCCTGTTACGCCAAGACCCTAATTCTCTGGTATACGAGAGTCGACTCGAGAGTCAAAAAATTCGGTCGACAAATTCCCATGGTCGGTCAGGCATCCATTCTCCCCCTGGCCTGTGAGTGTGTAACCCTAGTGATTCGAGCTTGACCGCCGACTTCGATTGCCGTGTCCCTCGTGTTGCACAAGTCACCACTGAGGCTATTAAAAGGGCGTCTTGGAAATACGCAGACGGTTAAATGCGACCGACTCACCGTCCCATTCATTCCAGGAACGTCCGAGACATTATGGGCCTGCCAAGCTGCCCGTACGAAGTCGGTATTAAGTACGAAGTCAATACGAACTGCCTGATGGACCAGATCACCTTGGCAAGGATCAAATGGGACCGTGCAGGAGGAGCAGCTCCTCGGCGCTACCTCTATAGGGCTGGGCATCACGTCACAGACGACATGGAACATGGGCTGACGCCAATAAAATCGTGGATGCGTGCAGGGCTCCCCTCGCTAAAGTCCCTTCGTAACGGCAGCAAATTGGCACTTTCGCTTCGATAATCCGAAGGAATCAAAGCCGATGTCATTATTGTCAGGTGGGCGAAATTGCGTCCAATTAACTTTGATGCTGCCTCCCCACATCCGCATGAAGTTCTGAGGCCTGGTCGCCGACACGAGCCAACGAGAACTGAGTTTGACCCCCTGCGCCAAGGTGGCTCCCTTCCTTTTCTAGCGAAGGAAAAGAGCGGTTAGCCTGGCCTAGAGTAGTTCTAATTTATCGTGCCAGGCGTCGGCGGCGCAGGGTCGCACCAGGAGAACGTTCGACTAATTATTTGATGGATCATTGATGCTTTATTTAGCCTTGATGAGTAAATTGCGGCGTGGTGGCTCTGAAGCAGCCCCTCTGGTGGGAACCACTAGAGAAAAGGGAAGTAATTGAGAGGAGGGATGGAGACCACTTCATGCCTAATGGACCTGGGCGAAAGGCCTCGTTGGAGTGGGAAAGGAATCCTACAGTACCTCAGTACTTGGTGAGCCCCCGTGGGGGATTGGAACACGAAGGGATCAGCACAGTCCAATGTTACCTCGGACTTGGTTCATGGCTTCCAAATCAAGACAGGAGTGGACCACTGCGATGGCGCGATAGAAAGGAGCTCAAGCCTGGCTGCACTACGAGGTAGCGGACTCCGTGCTGTCTGGACTTCAAAGTTAGTGGTGGCTTTTCTTCCGACGGATCATGCATTTGGCGTTTTTGGCATGGTCCAGCGAACAAAGTACGAGATCTTGTCGTATTTCAGGGAACCGACAAGTCTGCCCCGGCTCGTTGTTGGTCGGGGCTGTGGGATCTCCCGCCCGATTAGGAATCTCGCAATTTAAACTGCGCTTTAGCGTAGGAATGACTCGCGAGGGAGACCGGAACCAAACTCATGTTGGTACTTGTCCGCTCCCACACCCGAACTCGCTACCTCGTGTTTGGCCCTTATTTGCGACCTTCCTTCGAGTCCCATTTGGTCCATCATGCAAAGTACCACATTTCGGAAGCCCAAGCGACCAACCGACTGAACAAAACCAGCGGGTGCCCCACCCCCGTCTCCAACGGGCCTTCAACGGTTTTCTCCAGCTATTGTCACTCGTTTTTGTTGGTTTTTTGTCGGCGATATTTTTTGGCCCCCTTTCTGACAGCCTGAGACGATGGAGGTCAAGACCAACCCAGATCTTCTAGCGAAGAGGAGGAGGAAACGGATCCTATGTAAGAGAACAACAAATCTACCCTGCGCGACAATCAGCACGGAATCTTACCATAGCCGCGACTTTGTGGGATTTTTGGGCGGATTTTTCTCGAATTTAACTCGAATTTATTTTGGCTGGTTTTTGTCAACAACATGGTTGCTAACAAGCCGCGTGTTTATTAGGGAGCGTCGTGGGGATCCTAACTGTTGGAGTTAGCGCAGCCGTCGTGGTCGCAGTCCTCCTCAGTAAAAAGATCATTCCCCTTGGTGGCAAATCTGATTCGTCTGTCGCCTCCGCTGACGACAGCTCAGGCAACGGGAAGCCCGCCTCTGGCTCAGGTTCAGGTTCGGGCTCAGGCTCGGACTCGGGCTCGAAACCCGGATCGGGCAATGCCGTGCCCGTCAAGTGTTCGACGGCCGACGATATCCCCGACGAATACAAAGGCACCTGGTTGGATCCCACGTCATGGTACGACATGACCGGGTTCAACTGCTCCTTTACCGCAGAACTTGTCGGCGACCTCCCCCTCGTCGGCCTCAACAGCAGCTGGGACGATTCCGCGAGCCCGAACCCAAACGTCCCGTCCCTCGAGAAGGACTGGGGTTCCTACGCGAAGCGACCGATCCGTGGCGTGAACCTCGGCGGATGGCTCTCCCTCGAACCCTTCATTACCCCGTCTCTCTTTGATTACGACTCCAAACTCGGCATCGTCGATGAGTATTCTTTATGCAAACACCTCGGACCCGAGAAGGCCGCCGAGACTTTAGAAAAACACTACGCTACCTTCATCACCGAAGCTGACTTCAAGGCCATCGCCGACGCCGGCCTCGACCATCTCCGCATCCCCTTCTCGTACTGGGCCGTCACCACCTACGAGGGCGACTCGTACGTTCCCAACATCTCCTGGCGCTACCTCCTCCGCGGCATCGAATGGGCTCGCAAGTATGGCCTACGCGTCAATCTCGATCTCCACGCCCTTCCAGGCAGTCAGAACGGCTGGAACCACAGCGGTCGTTCCAGTGAGATTAACTTCATCGCCGGCCCCGACGGCGCCAAGAACGCCGAGCGCGGCCTCGACATCCACAAGAAGCTAGCCGCCTTCTTTGCGCAGGACCGATACAAGAATATCATCGCGTTCTATGGTCTCGGAAACGAACCTGGCATGAAGATCGACCTGGACGAGCTTGTTCAGTGGACCGATAAGGCCTATTCGGTCGTCAGCAAGGCCGGCGTCACGGCTCCCCAGATTTTCAGCGACTCCATGCGCGGTCTACCTACGTGGCAAGGCAAACTCGGCGGCAAGGGCGATAAACTCGTCATCGACACCCACATGTACGCCATCTTCGACCCTAACCTCATCGCCCTGGAGCACTCCAAGAAGATTTCCCTCGCCTGCAAGGACTGGTCCGGCCTCATCGTCAACAGCATGAGCGGCTCGGGCGGTTTCGGCCCCACCATGGTCGGCGAGTGGTCCCAGGCCGACACCGACTGCACCCTCCACCTCAACGGCGTCGGCATGGGCAGCCGCTGGGAGGGCACCTTCTCCGACACCATGGGCACCCCCCGATGCCCCACGGGCGATAAGTCTTGCAGCTGCGACAGGGCCAATGCCGACCCCTCGACCTATAGCGACGACTACAGGCTCTTCCTCAAGACCTTTGCCATTGCCCAGATGGACGCCTTCGAGAAGTCCTACGGTTGGTTCTACTGGACGTGGAAAACGGAAACCGCACACCAGTGGAGCTACGAGGCGGGTCTCAAGGGCAAGTTTATGCCTGCTGTCGCGTATGAGCGCGACTGGGACTGCTCCAAAGCCGTGCCGAGCTTCGGCAAACTGCCGGAATCCTTTTAAGTCGACGAGTTTTATGCATTGGACGCGTCTGGCCTCTTTTCTTTTACGTTTTTATCATATGCAGCCATCATATTTGGATTATTGAGCGCGCACAGTTAATGTAATTGTAATTTGCGAGGCAATAGTGGCTTGTTTCTTTTTTTTTCCTTTTCATCTTTTCTTCTTTTGTTCATATTGGGCAATGAGTTCCACACTTGGTCAATAATTTATGACCATGTCTCACTTTTTTTTTTTTTTTTTTTTTTTTTTTTTTTTTCTCTGTACAATATTCTTACATACCTTCACTAGAATACCACATTTCTTTTCTCCGCTTGTGGTGCCTTTGACCTGTGACCCAGGTGGTATCCGCATGCGCATGCATGCCCTGGGCAGTGCTGTTGCTTTCTTTTCCTGATCCGAGGAAATTTCCTCATCCACCTTAAACGTAAAACGTCCGACGAATAAAACCTCCAAGCTCTCGCCCAGATATCGACAATCTAATCGGAGAGTGAGTGGGTCAAACTTCTCGACTGAGACAGGCGTTGGTCGGATTAATACCTGCTGATGATCTGCCTACTTTGTGGCGACAAACACGAGGGACAAAACGCCTGATGATGATATTGTTGATAGACTTGAGAATGATCAACCACATTCAAGAGTAACGAGACTAGTTTCCGTTTACCACGTAGTCATCGTACAGAAGCGAGTCCAGGTCCGGGACGAAATAAGTGAATAGACCCATGACGTCGGTGCCCGCGGGTGGTGGTCCGCCTAAGAGCTGATTGTCAATGAGTCCAATTGGCATCGAGCAGTCCATGCCATCAGCCGGGGAGAGTCTGGGCATGACCTGAGCTTCGGTCATGGGTACATCCTGTGTCGTCTAAAACCACTCGTCAGCTGCATCGTCCGTTTCGGGGATTACAGCCTCTAGGCTGGGATTTCGGCAAAAGATCCGCTTACTTCTTCAACTGCAAGAGTTTCCGGCTTGGCGGCAGATACAGGAGCCACGCTGGGCAACGGTCCCCTCCGAGGCGACAGGAGACCGGGAGAAATCGGCGGAGACTGGAAAGCATGCGGATTCCCGATCGGGTCACCATTACGGCGTTGCACATCCCTAACGTAATCTCGGGCAATATGCGAAAACTCGGAGACGAGGGAGCCTGGAAGGGAGCCTCCAGTAGCGTAATCGATGCGGCTAAAATGGCCGCCTACCATCTCGAGAAGGGCGAGATTGGACCATGTGTCGGACTGAAGTGGATTGTGGATGACGTGGTCGAAGAGCGTGAAGAGGGCTGTGATCGGGACTGCAGCCAATACACTTGACACATCGTGTAAGTCGAGTTGATTCAAGCCAGGAGGGCAGGCGACTTACAGGCTTGATGTATATGGCTCTACCTCAATGAGAGGCGTTAGATCTAGAATAGCTCGGGAAGAGTCGATGATGGTCTTAGTTTTAGCATTCCGCTGTTCAACAACTGCCGGTTCAGAAGACTCTGGCAAATATAGCAGAGCTGTCCGCGCCAATATCATAGAAATGCCGTAATAAAAATAATGGATATGGAGAGCGAGTGGCCTTGTCCGAGTGTTCGAGACCGCATGCGGACGGACTGTACCCTTTGGCTGGAATCCAGTATCTGGCAGAGACATCCGCCATTCCTCGAGTTCTTCAGTCAGCTGGGCAATGGTGTCGAGATAGTAGGACCTGGGCTTTCCCGAGACGCCAGCGGAGAAGAGTGATGTGTATGCGCGTGATAGGAGGCGGGCGTGCCGGATGAAGGAGAGGAACCAGTTGAATTCTCCAAATATTGATTCGGGAATGTACGGGATTGGACAAGATATGTCGTAGTCCACGAAACCCTGCACCCCGGCTGGTCAGTACAAAATTGTGGTAGAGGTCATAGTTCTTATCTTACCGAACTGTGCCCAAAGTGGAAGCTGGAGATCTTTTCCATGCCGTACAGAATCCAAAATGTCCTTTGGTAGGTTTGCGTGTCTAGCCCTGTGAAGCCATTACTCGAAAGATTCTGCGCTCGCCGTGCTGCTTCCGATAAGATGGCATGCTCAATGGCCAACCCACTAACACTGCTTGAGTATATAGCCATGGCAGCTAGGGCTTGTAACGTCGTTAGGGAGTCCGGAAGCAGCACCAGGTCGGAGAAGATGGCCATAGCCACCACAAAGAGCTTCCATGCCTCGCCCTTGCCCGGCTCGAAACTACCCCCGTGGGCATACTGACACCCTATTGCCAGGACCGAGTAGTATAAGCAAGCCCACGGCTTGCTATTCGCTATGATCTGGGACAGGTCCGAGCTGAATGCGGTCTTTTCGAAAGTGTTACGATCGAGAAATGGGTAGAGCGGATGAACATTGTCGAAATAAACTGCCGATATGCAAATGTGAGCCAATTTCAGTCACATCTAATGCAAGGACGGGAAGAAATATTGATAATATACGTTTGATATAGGATGTGGCCAAGGCCTTGTCGGGCAGCTGCAAGTTGGGACTCTGGGCACGCCGTCGGACGGCGGAGTATACCGGATCTGCTCGTCTCACACGACTGGCGATGATCGTAGAAATTCTCCCGACGAGCTCGTTGATCCTTGTGTGTCCCAAACATGTAGCAAGAGACTGGAGCCTCGCGTCCGTGAAGAAGCTGAGATTGTTTCGCCCCCCTGTGATGAAGGACGAGTCAGCCGAGGATCGGCAAGGCAGGGGATCTTGTAAAACAGGGCGACTTGCCAAAAATACCGTTGCCCTAAGAATTTCGCATCAGATATCGTTCGTTTTCTTCTTCATCTTTCCAAGTTCAAGTTCTGGATGAGACACTTACGCTAACAAAGACTGAATCGGCGCTCGCTTGGACCCCGGATGTGCCGGGGGCTTGAGCTCCCGCGAGCAACCGGTCGACATGGAGTTCGGGAATCGACTCGCATGGACTATTCACATGCAAATTTGGGGAACTTAGGGCGTCTTCACTAGACTTAGTACCTGACCCTGCTGTGCCATCCGACTGAGCGGGTGTTGGTAAATGTGTGGGATCTTCGGAGAGTGAAAACTGTTCGGTGGCTAAGGGTCACATTCGGAAATGTCAGCCAGGTTAGCAGTCCGAAGGTGCGGGAACGTGGGATGATTGCCCGAGACCGAACCCTTGGAAGTGATTGGCATCTGCGTCTGCACCTACCTGTGTTAAAGGTGGACCGAGTCCAGCGTCGTGGGGGCCCTAGCCTTCTTCGGCTGAAGTGACACTTTTCTTTTCGTCTCTTCGGTGTTCCGTTAGTACATCAGATCACGTACCCTGACGAGGACATGTGAATATGTGAATAGGCAGCAGCACTTACAATGCAGTGGTCGCAAGGGCCAGACGAACTCGGACCTAATGCAGGGCATCAAATGTGTTAGTGGGGCGCTCACCCTCCCATCAAGTGCCGTGCAGAGTAGTAGGTTTGGAGAGTTTGGTCACATACCAGTGCATCGGACCTTGCGAGACCGACAAGCGTCACAGGTCTTGTTGTTCTTCAGGCTGAAGCAGGCCCTTGTCGTGGGACCGGCAGAAGTTGCCATGGTGTCGAGGATTTCCGAGCAGCTTTCCAGGAAACCGCGTCTATTATTTCGGTAGGAAGAATAATAGGCTAAGCGGCTGGAAAAAAAGAATGAATGGTTTCAAGCCCTACGGAAATCAAGGGAGTGCAGCCCATTCATGTACTTTCTTGGCTTCTCGATGGACGCGGGACGAAAATAGATCTCAACACGTCGCTTTCTCGGGACGTCATTCCACGTTGCTGTGTCTTGACGCTGAGAGCGGGAACGTGAAAAGCTAAAAGCTCGGGGGCCGAGATGGAGCTGCTCTTTTATCTTCTATGCCGTCATGATCTTGGGAGGCCCTCGGTGTTCACTTTCCTATCTCGGCATTTTAGACCGAGGCTTCGGCGCCACAATTTTCCGAACCTTCCGTTTTGCAGCGTCTTGTTGTGGGAGCTTGGACAGGCTCGGAGTTCTCGTTCGCCCCCCTCCAGGCGCTCGTCGCCTCTTTGTTATCTCCACGGCGTTAAGGAGAAAAAAATAATTTCCGTTTGTATGCCATTTCTAGCACTAGCTAATACAACTCGGGGTTTTGAGGGAGCGATGGCTTGGATATCTCGGCTTCTGATATCGAATTCTTGCGTCTGTGGCTGTATATAAATCATAGCAAGGCCACCCCATGTCGGGAACATCTGGAAATGGATCGTATAGGTTTGCTTTCTCCTTTGATGGAGGTTCTTTATTTCAATTCGCTCTTTAGACCTTTTGTTTCCTTTGTATCACTCTTCCTTTCTCTTCAATACGTTGCCCAGCTTTCCCGCTCCAACATCGTTGCTGCCCATTACCATGTCGGCAAGCATAGGTTCCTCGACGAGAGGGTCTGAATGGGAGGGTGATCCAACGATTTATCAGACCCGGTTTGCTCAACAAGATGTCGAAGATAGACTCGAAACTACCTCTCAAGACGAGGCCGTGAACCATCTCGTCCGGTCTTACAGCCTGGGGTTGGTCCGCACCACCTCACGCGTGGATCCGAGTATTAATCCGTTTCTTTCGACACATCCGGAACTGGACCCGAGTAGCCTTGAGCAATTCAATGCAAAGAAGTGGGCTCGAGCTCTTCTTCAACACTCGACCAACCACCCGGACAAATATCCCCGTCCAACGGCGGGCGTCTCGTACCGCGACTTGTCCGTGTATGGGCAAGGTCTCGGTTCTTCCGACTATCAGAAGGACGTTCTAAACGTCTTATACCAGGGCCCTGAACTTCTCAAACGATGGATCCGTCAGCGTTGGAGCAAAGTTCCCATTCTCGATAACTTCGAGGGCCTCGTTAGGAGCGGCGAGTTGTTGTTGGTGCTAGGGCGTCCGGGCAGTGGTGTCTCGACACTTCTGAAGACAATTGCTGGAGAAACCAAAAACCTCCAAGTTGACCCGAATGCGCGGATCTGTTACCAAGGTTTGTCTCCCTTTGTCTACCCACACCGGCCAGACGGTTTCCAAGAGATTCGGAAGTTCACTGACAATGAACTTCAACTTCAGGCATCTCGAGTGACGTTATGCACCGGACGTTCCGCGGCGAAGTAATCTACCAGGCCGAAAACGATGTCCACTTCCCACATCTCACCGTGGGCCAAACCCTCCTATTCGCCGCACTCGCCCGCACCCCCCAGAACAGGCTCCCCGGTGTTAGCAGGCAGCGGTATGCGGAACACCTCCGTGATGTCGTAATGGCAGTTTTTGGAATATCTCATACGATTAATACCAAAGTCGGGGACGACTTTGTCCGTGGTGTTAGTGGTGGAGAGCGCAAGCGTGTGAGCATCGCGGAGGTCACCTTGAACCAGAGCCTTATCCAGTGTTGGGATAATAGTACACGTGGCTTGGATAGCGCGACTGCCCTCGAATTTGTGCGGACACTTCGCCTCGGTACGGACTTGGCTGGGATCTCTGCCATCGTTGCTATGTACCAAGCATCTCAGCAAGCATATGATGTACGCCGTTCCTACGTTTACTCACCATCTGTCCCTTATAATTTTATATTTCATACGCTAACATCACTTCCAGGTATTTGACAAAGTAGCAGTCCTGTATGAGGGGCGACAAATCTATTTTGGTCCCAAGGATGAAGCTAAACAGTATTTCGTTGACATGGGCTATCATTGTCCAGACCGTCAGACAACCGCCGATTTCCTTACATCTCTCACAAACCCAGCCGAGCGCATCGTCCGACAAGGCTTTGAAGGGAAAGTCCCTCGCACCCCCGACGAGTTTGCCAAAGCCTGGAACACTAGCAATGCGAGGGCGCGTCTCATGGAAGATATTGCCTCATTCGAGGAACAGTACCCCGAGGATGGAGTGCAGGTTGAGAAACTGTTGCATTCGCGCAAGACTCAGAAGGCACCTTTGACGTACGTACCCCGCATATCGTAGCCCCTTTTCTTCATGCCAGTACTTACCCATGTCTAGGCGACCCAAGTCGCCGTATATTTTGTCACTGCCGATGCAGATCTGGCTCTGCATGACTCGCGGTTATCAGCGCCTTTTGGGAGATATGATGTTCTTCATCGTCACAGTTGGTGGCAATCTCGTCATTTCCATCGTGCTCGGAAGTGTCTTCTATGATCTTCCGAAGGATGCGTCGAGTATCAACTCTCGCTGTGTACTGCTCTTTTTTGCCATTCTGTTCAATGCTTTGAGCAGTGCTCTCGAGGTACGAGTTCAAATGATAGTGAGCCCAGTCCGTCATCGCTAATGCCTAGAATCGCAGATTTTGTCTCTTTATGCTCAACGTCCCATTGTTGAAAAGCACCATCGATACGCCCTGTACCGTCCCGTTGCTGAGGCCATATCATCCACCATCTGCGATCTCCCCTGCAAAATTCTCTCGTCGATCTGCTTCAACATCCCCCTCTACTTCATGGCCCAACTCCGACAAGAAGCGGATGCCTTTTTCATTTTTCTTCTTTTCAGCTTCACCAGCACTTTGACCATGTCCATGATTTTCAGAACTATTGCTCAGACTTCTAGGACTGTTCACCAAGCGCTCACACCAGCGGCTTTATTCATCATCCTACTTGTTATCTACACCGGTTTCATCCTTCCTATCCGAGACATGCAGGGTTGGCTCCGCTGGATCAACTACTTGAATCCGATAGGATACGCTTATGAGAGTCTAATGGCAAATGAGTTCAGTGGACGTCTGTTCCCTTGTCAACAATATGTGCCTGCTTACCCCGACGCCGGTCCGCTGGAGAGGACTTGTGGAACTCCCGGTGCGAGGCCGGGGGAAGACTTTGTCGATGGTGGTTTTTATATCAACGCCAACTACGAGTACTCCAGGTCCCATATGTGGAGGTAAGTCAATTTTTTTTTTTTTTTCTCAGGAACGCCACATGGGGTTCGGAATTCTAATACGTGCGGTCGCGAAATAGGAATTTTGGTATTCTTTGGGCTTTCATCGTCTTCTTCTTCGGCGTGTACCTCTTGGCAGCCGAGTTCATAACGACGGACCACTCAAAAGGAGAGGTCTTAATTTTCCGGCGGAAATTTGCACTTCTGAATGCTCAAAAGAAGGAAGTTGATGAAGAGAGTCCGAGTTGGGGGAAAGAGGCTATGTCCTCCACGGGTCGAATTACCCCATCAGGCGCTCCCCCGACCACGGATTCGGCCTCGAAGGACATCTTCCACTGGAAGGACGTTTGTTACGACATCACCATCAAGGGAGAGCCTCGTCGGATTCTTGACCACGTTGATGCATGGGTCGAGCCAGGAAAGGTCACAGCGCTGATGGTAGGTAACCTCGAGCCCAACAACCAAGCCCCTGTACTAACGTTGGATGACTAGGGTGTTTCGGGAGCTGGAAAGACAACGCTCCTGGATGTGCTAGCAGATCGAGTGACCATGGGTGTTGTAACCGGGGATATCCACGTCAACGGCCTCCCACGAGACCGCTCCTTTCAACGAAAGACCGGATACGTCCAACAGCAAGACATACACCTCGAGACCAGTACCGTCCGAGAAGCCCTGCGCTTTAGTGCGGTGCTCAGACAGCCGGCTTCGGTGACAAAGAAAGAAAAATATGAATGGGTTGAGGAAATGATCCATCTTCTCGAGATGGAGCCATATGCGGATGCTATTGTTGGAGTTCCCGGTCAAGGTGCGTCGAGACCACTCGTAATTTGCAGTCGATAGAGCTGCATGTGCTAACTATCTACTAGGCCTGAATGTAGAGCAACGAAAACGTCTAACAATCGGCGTGGAACTTGCTGCTAAGCCCGACCTGCTTCTTTTCCTCGATGAGCCTACATCCGGTCTTGACAGCCAAACCGCCTGGTCCATTGCCACGCTCATTCGCAAGCTTTCGTTAAATGGCCAAGCCATCCTCTGCACTATTCACCAACCATCTGCCATGCTATTCCAACAATTCGATCGCCTTCTACTCCTGGCCAAAGGTGGCAAGACTGTGTACTTTGGTGAGATCGGAGAGAACTCAAGCACTCTCACGGGTTACTTTGAACGGTTCGGGGCGGACCCCTGCGGTGCTGGTGAGAACCCTGCGGAATGGATGCTGAGTGTCATCGGGGCTGCTCCGGGCGCCAAAGCTAAACGCGACTGGGTCCAAACTTGGAGAGAGAGCGCTGAGTACACTGAAGTTAGACGTCACCTTGCCGGTCTAGAGTCACGGGCACAGTCAGGCAGGACGCTCGATCAAGAAGTACAAACCCCGGACGGAAAGCTCTCGGAACCGTCGACTTATGCAGCTCCTTTCCACGTTCAACTTGCGGTGTGCTTAAATCGAGCCTTCCAGCAATATTGGCGAACTCCGTCGTACATTTACTCGAAAATCGTTCTGTCCGGTGGTACCGTAAGTCTTGTGACCGTTCGATAATCTCACATTCGGGCAGTTATAGCTAACCGGGCCTTGGGATTCTAGAGTTTTATCATCGGCCTTTCTTTCTACCAAGCCCCCTTATCTATGCAAGGTCTCCAGTCTCAAATGTTCGCCATTTTCATGCTCCTCGTTGTCTTCGCCTTCCTCGTCTACCAGACAATGCCGAACTTCATTCTCCAGCGTGAGCAGTACGAAGCCCGCGAACGCGCCTCCCGCACCTATTCCTGGCGTGCCTTCATGCTCGTCAACATCCTTGTTGAATTGCCGTGGAACACCGTTGTCGCACTCATTATCTTCTTCCCCTTCTACTATCTCGTGGGCATGGATAAAAACGCCGAGCCTACTGACGCCGTGACGCAAAGAGGGGGATTGATGTTTTTGCTCGTCTGGGCTTTCATGCTTTTCGAGTCGACTTTCGCCGATATGGTCGTTGCAGGGGCGCCGACAGCAGAGGTTGGGGCGACAATTGCGCTGTTGTTGTTTGCGCTCTGCTTGATCTTTTGCGGGTGAGTTATACAAGTCTCTGATTTTCTAATCATCATCCCTCTGGTCCGCCTTCGCCCTAGCACAGATAACTAACAGTAGGGCTTGCAGTGTCATCGTGCCAGTTCAGAGCCTACCTGGTTTCTGGGAGTTCATGTACAGAGTATCGCCATTGACTTACCTCGTCGGCGCCATGCTATCCACAGGCGTCGCTCAAATCGCCGTCTCATGCTCGGAGCTCGAGGTCCTTCACTTCCTACCTCCACAGGCCGCCAACATTACCTGTGGCGAGTACATGGCTCCTTACCAGCAGTTGGCCAGCGGTACCGTACTCAATCCCAGCAGCACCCAGGCCTGCGAATTCTGCCCGCTCGCCCAGACCGATGCGTTCCTGGCATCCGTGAACATCTTTTACAGCGAAAGGTGGAGAAACTACGGGCTCATGTGGGCGTACATTGTTTTCAATGTGTTTGCTGCCTTGGCCCTCTACTGGCTAGCCCGAGTACCGAAGAGGAAGGTAAAGGCAACTTGGATAAGATCTTTTGGCCAACTGAAAGCGTGGGAGAGAATTCGAGGCCAACTGAATGCGTGGCGGAAATGAGCACCTCTGATCTTTCATCGGTCCACAGCTAAACTTTTCAGTAACAAAAAACCCTTCAGGCCGTACTTTTCCAAACCAATACTCTATAGATTTAGAATTTCTCTTCGTTCCATCCATTTATTAGTTGGTACTCGTGTACGCTAGATACTACTTTCGTTTAAATTTCTTTCTCTCTCCATCCGCACAACCACCTCACTCACTATGATGATCCTGGATAACGCTACAGCGAAGCGTTCGAAGTCTAGGATAGTAGCACTACCCTGCCGCTGGCGGGAGATCGGTTAGATTACCTTTTCAGGCCGCTACTCGCAGGAAGGGATTCCCCGGCGTCTAGGTCATCGCACTTGCAGATCGTATTAACCGTCCGACCGACCGCTCTTTCAACCCTGGAGAAAACCTATCTCTGCCAGAAATACAGAGGTTGCCCAAGCCGGCCGTATCATGCAAGGCATGCGATCCGTACCGCGGCCAAGTCGCCCAGGCTCAGAGATACTCTATCGGAGACAGCCACTTATAATAAAATATTACTATCGTATAACCTATTCTTAGACTTCCATTTATACCCTTGGTTAGTGAAGAGTAGAGTTAAGCCGTCAATCCTGGAATTTGGGCTTGGTGAGGAGGGCGTCGATTCATCCCTTGCGTCGCGATTACCATTTCTAGACAAGATATTGTGAACAAGCCGCATATAACTCGCCCAACTCCGGATATATGCTGGGGGAGACTCATCCCTTGCATCGGGCAGTGTTCCTATCCGGTCAACAGTCACACCAGCTACATCGGATTCTTCTGTGCAGATGACAGACCCCCGATGTGCTTTACTGCGCAGCAAGACAACACGACATAGCTCCATTGCAAGTCAAAACGCGTACTTCTTATCGGACTCTTGTTGCATGGGCTTTGGCCTAGATTTACGTAGGAATGTGATGGGATTTACTAGTAGGATTTCTGCGTTGGCTCCCCTCTTCTTGGTTCAACCATGGATCAAATGCTTTCACTTGGAATGGCGATGACAGCTGTACCGAGCAGGCCCTTGTACCAGAAATGTAAAAGGAAGCGGAAGTCCCTTTATCATTAACTGTCTATTCTGTATTTTGTTTAATCTTCCTGGACTCTCCTAAAACAGTTGAGCTTATAGCTATCTTAGTGTCATCTTTGCTAGTTTGCATCCCAATCCATCAAGCTCATCCTTCCTTTCGAGAAGCAGCTGTTCCGTAAATAACAAAACAGCACTATGAGCATGATCTCCCTTCACTCTTTGTTAGGACTGCTTTATCAGGTGCCTGACAACTGGGCCATTACAGGAGCTGTGGTATCTCTGGGCTTCCTGGCTGCCAATATAGTTCTAACACTGCGCACATGGACGCGTCTGCGCCACATCAAAGGGCCACCCCTTGCAGGATTCACGAACCTCTGGATGGTTCGCACAATCATGGAGGGCAATTCTCATTGGGTACTAAGCCAGGCAGCTGAGAGATATGGTAAATTCTTCATTGTGGCATCGTGCTGACCTGCTCGGCTTGTGAAACTTTAGGGGCCGCTGTTATTCCCAAGCTAACAGATGTGGGGACGAGTTTGCAGGAACACTTATACGAATCGGGCCAAATGAGCTTCTTACCAGTGACCCCGTCCTCCTCCGCCGAATTCTCGGGGTTCGGTCTCGGTATACCCGGGCTGACTGGTATGTCTCGATGCGCTTTGACCCGAATCTCGACAATGTCTTGTCTCAACAGGACGACGAACTGCATAATATTCTCCGAACCAAGATGGCCGCTGGTGTAAGTCTGTTTTCAGCCCTTCGGAGTCGGCCCGAGATTTGCGAGCCGGGGCGCCGTCGCCGCTCATTCGGAGATTCTAACTCACACGATTCGCTACTAGTATTCCGGCAAAGAAGTCGATGCTCTGGAACACAAGATCGACCGCAATGTCAAAGCCTTCATTAGCCTCATCAACGACAAGTACACATCCACACCTGGGAACTTGAAGCCTTTCGACTTGGCACGCAAGACACAGTTCTTCACTCTCGATGTCATCTCGGATGTTGCTTACAGTGAGCCCTTTGGATGTCTACCTACCGATTCGGACGTCTTTGGATACGTAGCCGCCATAGAAGAGAGTCTGGGAGCTATCATGCTCGTCTCGACTATGCCCAAGCTGAAATGGATCATGGATTCCATAGTCATGAGGATGTTTATGCCGTCCGACACAGACAAGAGAGGTTACGGCCGAGTTATTGGGTGAGTGCCTTTGGCCCGCGTTCGGCGGCTGTCCCGCTAACCGTGTTGCCAGAATCTGCAAGGAGAAGGCTGCTGAGAGGTTCGGCCCAGATCGGCAGGAACAAAGAGATATGCTAGGATCCTTTGTCCGCCATGGTCTCACGCAGCGCGAGGCTCAGTCCGAAACTCTTCTCCAGATGTAAGAGATTCCGTTGACCCCTTTTCCACTTTTTCTTTTCTTTTCTTTTTTTTTTAAATCACTACATACGCATATCTACTAACCACCACCCACTCTAGCCTTGCTGGCTCTGAAACAAGCGCGACGGCAATACGCACTACGCTTCTCTACATCATCACCCACCCACCAGTCTACGCCAAGCTTCTAGCAGAAATAGCAGACGTCTCTAAAACGACCCCTTCCCCAATCCCAAACAAAGTCGCCCAAAATCTCCCATACCTCCAGGCTGTCATCAAAGAAGGCCTCCGCGTCTACCCTCCGGTCGCCAGTGTTATGACCAAAATTACTCCACCTGAGGGAGACACCCACAACGGACTGCATATCCCCGGCGGCACGCGTATCGGATACAATGCTTTTGGCCTGGCCAGAAACAAAGACGTTTGGGGCGAGGATGCGGCGGTTTTCAGGCCCGAGAGATGGTTTGAAGGCACTAGCGAAGAAATCCGCGCGAAAGAATCAGCGCTGGATTTAGTGTTCGCTCACGGAAAGTTCAAGTGCCTTGGACAGAGCATCGCGTATGTGGAATTGAATAAGGTCTTTTTCGAGGTACGTCCAGCAGTCTCGCAAGAATGGGTTAGAGTTCCCAATTAAACTAATATCATCTCAGTTACTTCGTCACTTCGACTTACAACTTCTTAACCCGACCACCAGTGTGAAGTCTGTTTGCAGGGGCGTTTTCATGCAACATGGTTTCTGGGTGGTTGCTACGAAAAGGGAGTAGGAGACTTGGCTTAACGTCGAGAATTTGAGATAATTATCTGGGGATAAGCTCAGTCGAAGCTCAGCCGGAGACACAAGCCGGGGAGCTGCGCCAGCTTCAACCCCGATTCACAGGTCGTTTGGTTCATAGTCGATTACAGTTGAATCCCAGTATCCGAAACGGTAAAAGGCCGTCTTGATTGTGACTTGGCAACTCTGTTTATACTTTGTACGCATCACAAGCTGGTCGCTTCAAGGCAGCACCTGAGCAGACAACCTTTCGCGATTCATAAGAGCGATACTTATGTCCTTGTATCAACGAGATAAACAAGGAAAAAAGAGCCGGCAGATATAAATAACAATGACAGGAGAAAACAAAATCGAGTGCCGGAGCATGATTTCCAACCGTTTTTGGCTCGAGAAATCTCTGTGCTACTAAACCCTAAGCTATTATCTCCACTCGATCGAGAATGGCCCTACCCGGAGAAGCTCAACGGTCTGGGCCCATGAGGGATGCCCTTCTCCGCAGCACCACTGGTAAAAAAGCTCATAACCCAGCCCTTGAAGCTCTCCCAAATCTTGCAAATCCTGTCCCAGATCCAAGAAACTGCATTTTTCAACCACGCAAACAGGCTCTCCCAAGGGATAAAGTATATCGCAGCAGCAGTTACCACGCCAAGCACAATAGCATGCCCGGCAGCGGTAGTGATGAGGGTCCCCTTGGCGCCTGCTGCTCCGAGTTCAAGGCTATGAAACCCGAAGGAATATTTCACGTAGATGCCACCGGCTGTCCCTTGGGCAGTGAGCGTGAACTTGCAGCCCCCGGCGAGAAGCCCCATGATAGCTGATACAGTTCCTTTCACCTGCTCCCAGCCACTCTTGCCGGCCAGCTCGCCAAAACGCTGGCATAGTTCCTCACGTTCGGCTTCACTGAAATTGCTGCGGGATCTGGCCCACCGTTTGTGTGAGGTGACGCTATCCACCTTAATCCGAACACCCCTGCGGTGGCCGATAACAAGCTTGTGCTTCGCATGATGGTGAGCTTGCCAGCTGTCGAGCCGCACGTCTTTATAAGTGGAGGATCCATCGATGAGAAGGACGCGCTTATCGTCCTTGGCCGCGCACCTGAGAACCCAAAGCTCTTCAAAATGGGAGGGGACATGGAACGATATTCCTGGAATGTCGGCGGCGGCTAGAATCTTCAAGATTTTGCGTGCAGGAGAAAATTCGATCTCGTCAATGGTGTCTTGGAGGCCCTCGGGAGTCGTAAAGAGCATGATTGGGGCGGCTATTTTCACGGAAAGTTAAACATGTTACGCGGGCAAGATAAAAGGAGGACTAAGATATAGACCTACATTTCGACTTCTTGCGATCCTTGCACTCTTTCCTGAGAGGCTTCAGACTCGAATCGTGAACGATGGCAATAGTTATACAGCCACCACTGCGCTCTGCCCGAACCACTCGACTAACTTGCACAACTTGCTGAGTGGTTGACTCTCGGGACAAAGCAGTGGCGGTTGATTCATTGTCAGAAGGTAATGCTAACTCCATCGCTTAAAATGCTGATTTTCTTGGTGAAGTAATGCTTCTAGGTTGAGACGTGGGAAAAATAGATGTATCTGCCCACACAAGGTCCCCCTCTCGTTGCTCGCACAGGGTTCAATGAGATTGGGGGTGCAGCCTCCGTTTAAGATCCGAAGTATCCGGGGCCTTATATATACCAGGAGATATATTATTACATCGGTGAGAGGTACCCTAAGTGTCGGAAGGCATCATTGACGGAATATAACGAGCACGCAAGCACACCGGGGTCCAGGTCGCTGATGCAAGAGCCCTACATTGGGCTGCCACATGGCCGCCCATCTGGTCGTTCTTATTGGACGTCATCCGGGAGCGACATGCGTTGTACGTGCAGGAATTTTGAGGGACCAATCTCTCCTAACGTGGCCCAATGAATTCATGCCGCCCCACGAAGCTTTGTTGTCAAATAACACCTTGACGCCAGTGGCTCTCTAGAAGGGCTCAAATAATATGCCTGACATATACCCGTCGGGAGATGCCAGACAGGGCTCAATTCCGCCGAATGTATCGAGATCCCCAATCCAATCAACTCTCCGAGAAGAGGGCGACCGTGTAAGTTCTTGCTCTTATACCTTGTGTGGCCGGTTTGGCCGGTTTGAGTGTTGCTTGTTTGCTGTTCCCTTGTACGAAGTACCACTATTAGTTTCGGCATGTCGCTGTTAAGGTTGCTGCCTGGTGTAGCATTTCACGTACAGGGGAGTTAATATTTACTCAGGTAGATGAACAAAATGGTTATGAATGTTGAAAACTATACCAAGTAGATTCCTGATCCAACATTTTTATTCATTTTGCCTCAGAGATTTCATCGCTCGCTTTCCCACAATGCTCACTGCCAAGTCTCTTACAGCGGAGGAGGGCTGGGTTTCGTAGTTCACATCCAGGGATCAATATCAACGTGCATACCAATCAGTTCAGGACGAGCAAAGGAGAAGCCTGCATAGATCGAAGGACACATGACACTATGCGCGGGGTAACATCGCCAAGGGTTTGCTTCCCAGCCTGGCGAGTCGACTGCCTCGCCTCATGTTTCTTGAAGGAACCAAACAAATCCTGATCGCGGGAATTTCCTTCAACACATCCTAGCGTCTCTTTGGAGAAGCTATTCCGTCTCTAAGAGGTTCTAATTAGGGTAACCCTCAAAAGTATCAAACTCGCCTATCGTGAAGGATGGCGCCGGGAGAACCAGGCGTCGCTGGAGGGTTTATGTCCCTGAGCTGGATTCGCGACCCCAAAGATGCGAGCGGGACATCCATAACTTGTGCAGAGTACTGAGTAGCGAAAAACTGATAGATCTGCTAACTACCTACAACAGCATATTTCTCATAGGAGGCACCGATGCGGATAGCCGATCCATTTGGACCGAGCCGGAAAGTGGAGTGTTTTGGCCGAAGGACCTCCTACCGGAGGACCCCGAGCTCACTCACTAACTCGTGCCGGGTTTAGATTCTGAAAGTGTGTGATTTGGATCCCGGACTCCGAGCGTTCCAAGACTGTATCTGGTTGCAGAACTTCGCGGCCGGGACTCTTAACTCGATTGACCACGTCATTAGGACCGGCCATGCGAGGTCAGTGGGAACCGGCAACGAAGCCGACGATCACGGCGAAACGTGGCCTAATAACGGCGTAATAATTCTTGTTGCGCATGGGCTGGGCGGTATCCTTGCACAAGCCGCCTCCAGCATTGTTCTCTCAGTCTCCACCGAAACCTTACACGGCCATCATCTCCAGCTTAGACAGACACACAGACGTCTTATTCTTCTTGGAACCCCGAATCTCCATGACCCTAGCAAGATTATTATAGACTTCGAGCAGATCTTGCAGATAGGGGCTTACTATGGCGGGAAGGAGTTTAACATCAACCACACCCGTCAGTTTTTGATGGGGTTGCAAACACAGGCGATATGTCTTATCAACAACGACTGGGTTGAGCAAGGACTGAGTCCTCCGACCGAGGTTCACGGCACGCTCAAGGTCGCTTGTTTCCAGGAAGGAGAGGAGGATCAGAGCCTGGTATGTTGTGTTCTACCGTTGAACCCCCTTTGTTGACTGAATCGAACTAAACAACGGATTAATGAACTCTAAGGCCCAAAAGATAAAGTCTTATCGACCGAATGATCCGGATACAAACGGTTTCGTTGTCCAGAGGGAATACTCCATATTTGGAGGCCAGGCTCTGTCCGGATTCTCGATGGCTGACCCTCCATCTTCAGTGATTCCCAAGAAGCACAAGGTAAGCCCACCACTGTCACCCGTACCTGGCAAATGTAGCAATGTTAGCTCACATTTAATCGAGAACATGGGACAAATCAAGGATAGGACCGAACCGGGTTATCTTGAGCTTCAGGCCATTCTCAAGGAATTCGTAAAGCCAGAGTAGATCGAACCGGAAGTTGGTACTGTGCCCAATGTAATCGAATCAGAATGCCTGTCGAGACCCCCGGGGAAGTCTAGACATAAACCTTGTATTCTAGTTAGTCTAGTATATCTGAATTAATTCGGTGTTAAGGATGAAGTTCGAAGTAGCCATCCATTAACCACCCAAGCAGTAGTAGCGATCTGGCTATAAGACCGCGATGCCCACATGCCTGCGCACACATAGCTACCGCGTTTTTCAACCGTGTATATTTCCATGTCTACATGACTCCCCGTAACGCTTCGTCGCCGACCATTTGTCCGAACAGAGATGACTTAAACTATGCTGTATCTTCTAGTCTCTCTTTCTCAAGTTCTGCCATCAATTCCTGAATTTTCTCACGGCGTGGATCGCCAACCGCATGACTCCACTCCTTTTCCGTCCAATCCTGCAGTCCCTCCTCAGACACCTCGCCCTCAAGCAAAGAGAGTACGCCCCTAATCATTCCTAGGACTTCGCTCCGCAAAAGTCCCGAAGCAAGCCCAAAGTGAAACCGCCTAGCAAGTTCGCTTCCACTGGCAAATTCCGCGAGGTCCCCTCTTCCCTTCCGCTTTAGAGCTTCTCCTAGAGTTCTATCATCGGTGCTAAGTCCTGCAAGTGGACTGTACAGATTGCCCAGGTCGGCAGTGAATAGAGAAGGCCCAAAGGCCTCACACGCCGGGACGAAACGTGCAAACTGCCAGTCAATGATGGCGGTGATGTTGTAGTTCTCGTCAATAAGTATATGATCCCCTTTGTCGTCAACGTGCTTGAGGAAGAATCCGCCAGTGGACGTCGTAGCCGCGGCTAGAGCCGAAGCAGCCCGGTCTCTGAGTAGTCTGTAGAAGAGGAATGCCTCTTTGGGGTATTCCGGGTAAAGTTGCCCATCGGAAATTAAGTCAAGGTGAAGATCTGCGATGGAAGTAAAGTAGTCAAGTGGATCCGCAAAGGGTCCATGTTTTCCGAGTGATAGGAACCGATTACTCGCGATCGCCGCCTCTTCGGTCTCCTTACCATGGGGAAGAAGGGAGCAAGCCTGGTCTCTAGAGGAGCGACTAATGTCGATGAGGATGTCGGCGTATTGGTTGTAAATGTGCGACTTCTGTTGAGCGGTTGCCTGATGAGCGTAGAAGGGATTTCCAGGCATAGCATCCTCGAGTATGTAGCTTACCCGGACCAAGTTACCAGAGTCCGAAGAAAGCCCAAGCCAGTGAGCTCTGGGAGCAGGCACGCTGAGGTCCTCCAGGAACTTGAGGGTCGCGTATTCGCTCTCAACCAAGTAATCGACGAGATCTGGGGGAATGTCGCTAAACGCTGCAGTCCGAGGAATTCTAACAAGCCACTTAACTCCATCATCGAAGATAATCCACGCATGATAATTTGCGCAGCCCATGATAGCGCCGCTTCCCAGGTGCTTTCCGGGATAGAACTTGCAGGGCTTTCCGTCGCGAAGTGAACTGGCCTTGCGGACAAGCTCGGGGACATCCACCTGGTTAAGAAGCGCCTCAACTTCATTATTGATATTCATCTCCCAGGTGGCATCATCAACCTAGGACCTCGTTAGTGGGTGCGGCAACCGAGGCCATCTCGAATAAAACTCTTGAGGACTTACGTCGGCAGTAGGTGGGCATTTGTGATGTCGAGGGAGAATATGGATGGCGCATACATGTCTCATACAAGTTGGGCAGCTTCGGCCGCGGACACTGGGGCGATCACAATTCGAGCAGGAGCAAGTTGCGAAACGAGGAACTTCCGGTGTAGGCACCGCATGAACCGCTGGACCGAGGGGTATGCCTCCTTGCGATGCATGGCAAAGGGCGGCCAGTCGAGCATCATTGGCCCACTTGACTAGGCTGGCTCGCCGCCATTCTTGCCAGTCGGGCATGGCACCGTCGAAGGTAGCCACAAGACCTCGGAAAACGTCAATCGCCTCATCTCTTGTGAGACCCAAGCCCATCCCTAGACCAAAGAGGAACCGCCGCATCCTATCTGATTCAAAGTAGCAGTATGGAGCCCCACGACGCTCCAACTCTCGACCCAAGATTCCATCCTCCTCACTCAACCCTGGTTTTCCTGTGAAGAGATCACTAGTGTTCGAGGACACAAGGGAAGGGCCAAAAGCTTCGTATGCTGGGACCGCCCTCGCGAAAGTCCAGTCAATGATGCCGGTGATCCGAAAGTCGTCGTCTATAAGAATGTGGTCTCCTTTGTCGTCTGTATGTTTTAGGAAAAAAGGCCCCGAGTTGAGACCCCGCCATTTTTTGAGCCAAGAGCCTGCCTTTGCCTGTTCCGCCAGGAATTTGAACTTTATGTATCCATCAACCGAATACGAGGAAAAGAGTTGACCATCGGCGATGAGTTCGAGATACGTTTCGGCCCACGTGCTATAAAAGTCTTCCGCCCCTTCGAAGGGACCTATGCAAGGCAAAGTCCCAGTCCTGTCGCTCGCAATGGGGCCAACGTCGATTGCCCCATTTGTGTCGAACTTCAAGGACCCAATCTTGTCGAGAGGATGCTTGCTCAAAATGCAGAGGGTGTCAGCCCATTGACTCAGCACCTTTGACTTTTGCGTCTCCGAGGCTATGGACAAGTTGAAAGGTTGGCCAGGAAGTTTGTCAATAATCATATAAGCGACACCTACTTCGTTTCGAGGGTCGCCACGCAGCCCATAGGCGTGAAGTCGCGGTGTCGGTACGTCAAGGGACTCCAGCCATCGAAGTGTCGCACATTCGCTGAGCAAGATCTGATTGCTGAGTTCATCACTGAAAGACGTGTAGGTCTCTCGCAGGATTCGGGCTAGCCAGACAGTCCCGTCTTCAAATATAAGCTGAAGATGAATATGCATGCCGCCCATTCGACGACGTCCCAGAGGATCTTCGCCATCTAGACGACATTCCAAGCCGCCCGAAAGCTGTTTTGCGTGCCGTAGAAGGGCCGCATGGTTCGTTTTCTGGTTGAGAGTGACCAACTCTGCTGTCTGGGCTGCCAGCCACGCATCATCATCGAGGGGTTCGCTCTTATACAAATTTCAGATCAGCGGCTCTATGCACAGATGGTGGGCATTCTTACCTCACATGTATGCAACGTAGACGTGATGTGTGTTGCGCAATACATCGATTCACATCGCTCGCAACCACCAATGTCGATGGCCGCAGCGTTCGGGCACTCTGTAATGGCACAATCCCAAAATCGGGCCATGGCTAGTGAACAATTGGTGACCTCTCCAATCCGTGAAAATGCAGATCTGCTGGGCGGTGGAATGGGTGGGGAGTGGAATATAAAATCATCAGCGGATGCGCGAAGGTAAATGGATCAGTGAAGCTTCGAGAGGCCAGTGTGAAGCGGTTCGTTCCATGGGAGTGTCGCGGTGGTCGCTCAACACGATGCTCCTGCACACAGGGTTGCAAGAAGATTGGCGGTAGGTCTGGAAAAGTAGCCTGATTGATTGGCTCTCAGATCCCTGTCCGCCCTGTAATTGTTGAAGTATAGCTCAGCTGTTTTCACACTCAACGATTCAATTACTTGGATTCTTCTGGAATGATGGAGACAAAGTGCGAAGTCCTCCGCTGTATATACCACAAGAGATTTCTCCGATCGAGGGCTACTGTGTTGGCTTCCCCGAGGCCATCAGTTATAATCCCAATCTATTAATCTGCTAAAAATATCAATTGCAAACGAATTTCGCGGTGCAGCAGCAGGACCTACGGACGGCCAACGTTGGCGGGCATTTATCCACTGGTGAAGTTGTTGGAAACTGCAAGACGGACACCATCCGTTGTTTCCGTCCCGTCTTGGTTTAGGAAGATTACCTGAGTCGTGCAAGCGCATTCGAGCGCGCCAATTCCGGAGCATAGCAAGCCAACCTTATAAAGAGTTTGGGAGCAAGGTGTTTGTGAGGGGGCTTTGAAGCAGAGCCTTGTACTCTTTGTGTTACGCCGACTTCCTGACGGTACCGCTAACCTTTTATTCGCTTTAATCCGCTAAGGTAACTGGGACTGATAAAGCGAATGTCGGTTAGTGGTATTGGCTACTCTGTGAGCAGTACATTGTACGGCTGAAAACGCCGGCAGTGAGCCCAGTTTACTCTCTGGAGTGGCGAGGCGATGGAAAAAGACAACGAGGTTCTTGTGAAGGCCAGCAAGCGCATACTACATAGCACAGGCCCAATCGCACTCTTAAAGCAGGGGACTTTCACGATTACCAATTTATGCCATTATACGGTAAAGGTATTCATATAGCTAGTTATCTATGCACCATGCTCGAGAATGGAGGTCGTCGTATCGCCGATGGATGATTGAAGCGAGCGAAATTCGATCCCCAACAGCTCCCTTGCCCTAGAGTTATCATATCCATAGACGCCCGCTGGGAAATCGTCAATCGGAGCACTGGGGAGCTTGGAGGCCAGCTCCGGATGGGTCTCCCGGATCGCATCCACCACCGCCTTGTTCGAGAAGTGACCAGCGGTGACAAAGAAGCGCTTGCCGCCAGCCTTATCAACCTCAAGCGCTCTCACATGTGCCAGTGCAAGATCACGCACGTCGACCCACAGAAACACGCCGGTTGGAGGTAGCTCATTGCTCGTAATCTTCCCTTGGACGAAGTCCCTGACTCTCAGATTTGAGGTGTTGAGCTTGTCGAGGTTCTCAAGGTGGTGAGCTATGGGGCCAAATACGAGAGGCGGGTTTATTGTGACCAAGTCAAAGTTGGGCTTTTCTTTCACGATAAAATCCCACGCCGCTCTCTCCGCAAGTTTCTAACGCCGTCAGTTAGGCAAGTTCCTAGTTCTCATTTGCACACGGGTTCTCACCTTGCTAGCGCGGTAAGTTTGGGAGCGGTCGGCCACCGCTTCTTCCTTGGTCAACTGGTTCCACGAAGTCTCGTCATAAACCTTGGGATGGGCAGTCTGATTTACAATAGCTGCGAAGGAGGAGGTTACGACTACGCGCTTGACGTTAGGGGTGAACTTCTTGATCGCCCGCAGGATACCAGTGGTGCCGATGATGGCGGGGTCCAAGATATCTTTGACAGGGTCATCGAAATTATGATAAAACGGTGAGGCTGTGTGGATGACGTAGTCAAATGGAGGTTCCGATTGAACAGCCTATTGTCGTAGTATATACCAAGTCAGCTCTACCCCTTCCGAGGCTTCCGTTGCATGATGATGGAGGCAAGGACAGAGGCAAGGACAGCTTACAGCGTCAAAAGCACCTTCCTGGGCAATGTCGCTCACGACAACGTAGGAAAGCTTTCCTTGAGGGGTATCGCTGTGTGCTGCGAGGATTTGATCACCTTTGGCCTTTGATCGGACGGTGGTGACGACGGTGTATCTAGCGGAGCTTAGTATCTTGCCGCTGGAATATGAGAATATGAGGGGTATTGATCTCTGGCCTTGTCTTACCCGCGTTCCAAAAGAGTGCTCAGGACGTGGGCGGCAATGAAACCGCTGCCCCCTGATGATTGTCAACTCGCTGTTCCGATTTTGCACAGTTTAGTAGGGTGTATTACCTGTTAGAAGAACTTTACTCATTTTTGAAATATTACCCGTTACTCTGGGTGCTCTTTTCAGGGCGATAAATGATTGAATCTTTGATCTGAGATATCCAAGAGAGTCTTTTTCGTGTCTGTGACGGCTCAATGACAGGCTGTGTGAGCTCTTGAAATATGTGCGGAGGCAGTTGCGCAATTTATGTAACGAATTGAGTCATGTTATCGGCAGTTCGCCTTCAGTCCCGGTGTTTGGCATTAAAGAGCTTGACCTCTTCTTCTGTCGGATTTAGGCCGGCCTTAGTCTGGTCTATTGGAGATAGCGACATCACTGACCATGGAACGAGCCTATTTCCAGGATAGTGAGCCGATACCACCTCGGTACCTTATTGCGTGTTAGTCCCGATCCGACCAAGCAACTCCGAATCGCCCGATGCCGTACGGATTGTAGGGAGATAGCGGCCTCTTACACATCCAATGTTTTCGCAGCACAATACTGACGACTACTGCAGAGTGGTTGTCCCAGTCAGCCCCCTTGCATGAAACCAATGCTATTCCTACTTTGTATGCCGCAGCGCCGTGTTAATTCATTTGCCAATCATGACTGAGTCCATCCGGGTGGATTTGACCATGCATTTTCTATCCGGTGGCATCAATCGGTCTTTCATGACGACATTCGCCGCTCTGACCCTAGCCCACGACAAACTCGTCTTCCAGTCCCTCTCCGAAGTAGCAATCCCTGCCTCTAATCTTCCTTAAGCCGGCCACGCTGCCGACTACATCATCATATCCACAAGCTTTCCAACAGTGGGCCATACCACCAAGGGGTTCCTATCAGCATGCCTTCCTACCTGCGCTCCTTCTAACCTCATCTCGGTCGGAGCCTATCTGTCCGCATGAGATGCACCGTTCGAGGCTCACAATGCTGCACGATAACATCGTAGGACCTATTTCAAGGATACCCGCCCCTAAGCTAGTGTGAGTAGACAGGGGCCACTGTACTAAACCTCGTCGGTGCAAAACAGCATCTTCTTTGCTCACTAATGGCTCCGACAGAACGGAAGTCAGTTTCGCAGCATTATGCTATCTCCGATCGATATCAGCGTTGCTGTAGCATGTTCAGGTCAGTTGAGCGCTGGTCGGTATATGCGACAGACTGTATTGGTTGATGAACTCGAAGTCGCGGCGGGCCATGTATCCAATTTCCAGGAACCTATAGTACTTTGATTAAGAGCCACATGTCCTAATATAGTGAACCCCCTTTCCACCATTGTAATATCCATCGAGAAAGTCTCACGAGTCCAACAATTATCTTGCGGAAGCTGTAGTATCCCTGTACTTGAAATTTGGTTGCTTTAGCCATGGCTCAAAAGAGGAAATAACTATCTCTCAAGGATATACTACATAAGAGGGTACTGAGGCCTGATATCTGGTGGTATCAACCATCACAGCAAATCCAGGAGAGCTCCATGCGTTTCTCTAGCCCCTATAGGAGTGGAAAGAAGAGATTGCCTTGGGACGGAACGGTGGCGAGCTTAAGTGTATTTATGAAACTGGCACGGATAAATACAATATAGATACGCTATGCCATATGTAGCACAAGAAAATACCCTCACTCATCCAATGCAGCAATGACTCGTCTCAGACCCTCCTTCAGGTAGTCCTCATTTACAGAGAACACAATCCTAAACCAGCCAGGCTCCTCGGAACCAAAGACTTTGCCGGACGCAAGGAAGACCATGTTACGGAGAAGAATATCCATTAGCTCCTTGTCCACATTCCCAACCTCCCTATCCGGATGCTTAGCACGATAGTAAGCCCCCAGATTAACCCACAAGAAGAAGGCTGCATTGACACCCTTTGCGTACTCAATTTTGTTTTCCTCGGCCCAAGCCTGAGCGATGCCGTAGTTGTGGGCCAACTTCTTTCGGTTGGTAGCAATGTACGACTCGACGAATTCGTCATCTTCAAGGATATTCGCCGTAGCCACCTCCGAGAGAGATGATACGGAGCTGTAAAGTGAAACGGAGACAAGAGCGCCGTGGAGAGGTTCGTTATGCTGCGAGATTATGGCACCCATTCGGATACCATTGGCGCCAAAGTCTTTCGACATGCCCCATAGCACGTGGAGACGCGAAGGATCCATGATTCCATCAAGGGGGATAGATAGAGCCGACTCAAATGGAACAGCGGGAGGGGCATCCGACCAGACTGACATGGCGTAAATTTCGTCGCTGATAAGGTGGATATCATACTTCTGACACAACTTCATGAAGTCGATAATGACCTCCCGGGGATAACAGCGGCCGAGCGGATTATGAGGGTGGCAAAGAATAAGTCCGGCAATCTTAACTCCATGGGCCTGGGACTCGAGCAAAACAGCTTCATATCTTTTCACTGCTTCGACAGAGAGAGGGTCCGTTCCCTTGAAAGCAACAGGAACGAGCTTGGCTCCAGTGCGAAGTGTAATGTCGTCCTTGAAAGTTCCGTAGTACGGCTGTCCCAGCAGGAATCCTTCTCCAGGATTCGCGAAAGCCCAAGCCATGTGTTCGATGGCGGAGCTACAGCCGTTGGTGATCGTGATATGCGCTGGCTGGATAGGCTCGACAGGTAGGAGTCTCTTCGTCAAGAAACGCGCCATGGCAGCCTTTAAGCGCTTTCCGCCATCTCCGTAAGTGAGGGCCTGGCTGGAGATGGACATGTTCGAGTGCATGTGAGCCAGCAGGGACTCATGCATGAGGAGATTCTCTGCAACTCCGAGACTGACATAGCCCGTAGGGTTGCTGACGGGATCCCATAAGTTCCCAAAGATTTTCCAGATAAGAGCGGTGCCGCTACGCTTCGTACAATCCTCGGCTCGAGCGGAGAGAGTCATTTTGCAAGGAGTGAACGTGGAATTAGTGGGAAACAAAATCTATACAGAGGGCTCTCTATATCGCTTGATCCAGGTTAGAATATCTTCGCGCATGGAACACTCATTGGATATGCACGTACCTAAACGATGCGGTCTGGTCACTTAAACATATAACGAGAGACTTCCCAAAGATCTATAGACAAAGTCTGTTGAGGGGATCAAGTTGACTCGGTCCATCCTGGGTCTAAGTCGATTATTAATCAGTAATATGCGGGTTTGATCAGACGAGACTTCTTAGCGTCGAGCGGCGGTTAGAGGTGGATAGAATAGGTGCTATCGTGCTAATAGTCTCCGCGAAATCATACTATCCCGAGTAAAAGTCTCCGACGACGCCTTTCCTCTCCACATAGCACAGGAAGTTCGCCGGTACGCAAACCCCCTCAAAAATGGAGGGAGGGCAAAAAGGAAGATCACATGCAACACCAGGGATTCGCTGGTCGTCACCGACCCAACTACTAGTCTGGCCCTCACAGGCTTATCTAGGGAAGAGCGGACGGGTTTCCGAGTTTTCCTGTGAGTATGGTCGCATGTACTCAGTTTTGAGTGAATGATACTTATGAAGGTTGACTTCAAAGACTCTTCCTGAAGGACGCGCTCAGACGGTTCACGTTGATGGGCTTACAATAGAGCCATCCCAATTAACGAGAGAACATGGATCTAATAACTCTCGCAAATGCGACGGGTTTATCTCCCATGTTTATGTAGCATACGCTGTTAGCAGAGGCGGTGCTAGATTTATTTGTGACACAAGGTTAGGTCGATAATAAGAGAGCATCAGCACTCAAGGACCTGTACGCCTCGGTTCTGCGCACGAACCCTGCGCTCAAGGCCATTGCCAACCTAAGATGATATATTCTTGAGTCAGTCATGAGAGTCAGTCCTCCTATTCGATCGGCTCTTCTTGAGTGTTTCAACTTTTTCTCTTCTAGATAGTGACGCGCCCGGAATCCTGCTAGATAGAGCGGCATGCTCAAGGTGGAGGAGACCAAAGGGACCGAGCTTACTTATATACCTAGACCCAGTAAATACTTGCGAGATCCTTGACCAAGAACCGTGTGATCAAGCCTCGGGACTCCCGGAACGGGCGGCGGGCGCGGGGGGGGGGGGGGGGGGGGGGGGGGGGGTAGTTAACGGGGAATCCTAGAGCTATATAAACGAAAACAGGGGGTTCTCCGTCTAAACTCTCTAAATATTGATACCTCTCTTCTCTCTCAGCGAAAGTTCTCCAAATTCACGGACCGGGTTAAACGCGGAAATAGAGGGCGGTCCAAAATTTAGCCCCAATTCCAGAGAGATGTATTAGGTCTAATCATCGATACCCATGCTCGGCTCTACAAACCTGACAATGCGGAACCTATCCTACGTGATTCACACCAACCCCCACAATTAGAAAGCACAGAGTTATTATAAGTTTCGACCTCGGATATATGTATATACAGAGTATGTATCGTCTTTTTGTCGAGGTAATGGACAATTCCATAGTATATAGCCTGCGCTATTGGAGGAAATAATTCCCGTTAATACCGCCACTCCTCTAGCTCTCCGCCCATGTTCCGAGGAGGAAATGTTGCGCTCATTGTTCCGGCCTTCTGCAATGGCACCCTGGAGCATATAGGGAGACTCAGGGGTCTTTATCGTTGTATCCAGTTTCTGCTAAGACATCCACTCCTTGCCGACCCTCTAGCCGAGCCGTTGCGTTGCAGCCTAAGTGAGGCGACGTCTTGGGAAACATTCCCGCTTTCTCTTGCGCTCCAATGGCAATGCGTTCCGGGTCGCAATTTTGCAGCTACAATGGGCTGTAAATATGGCCCTCCGTGTACGTGCCAGTAGCGTATTTCCCATTGAGATGAGTGAATTCTCCGAACATTCGCATTGAAGACTCTTTTGGAGTATCTCTCCCCCGGCTAAAGTAAAAAGCATGCCATGTATTCTGGTGTGAGAGGATGAATTGGAGAGTGAATTAGGATAGAATGCCACTCTACCGAGGCATACTGATGCAGATTGTGCTCACTTGCCAAGAATGCAGTGGGCGATAGCTATATAACTGTGAATATTTATATGTATAAGCTCGATCCTACATGGTTCTATTTTGCTTCTACTATCATTGTCGTCACAATTGGACGAGGAGAAGATACCCAGTTCCTGGAAAGGCACTATGGCTATCCTTAGGTCAGTGCTTCTGGCCGTTGGGTGGGCCGTCTCTTCGGTGTCTGCCATCGACATCTCCATCAAAGCTACTGGTGGTAACGCGACAAGTCATCAATATGGTTTTCTCCACGAGGTTCGCCGATTCTCCCTAGGAATGTGCAACTACCAGATAATTCTGAAGCTAAAGGTGTGACTGCAGGATATCAACCACTCCGGTGACGGAGGGATCTATGCAGAACTTATCCGCAATCGCGCCTTCCAGTACGGCGAACGGTTTCCTGTCTCTCTCGCCGCTTGGTCTCCTGTCAATGGCGCCAAGCTCAAGCTTAACCGCCTCGATGAACCTCTCTCTGAGGAGCTACCTGTTTCTATGAATGTGGAAACCGGAAACGCGGATGGCCGAATTGGTTTCTCCAATACCGGGTATTGGGGTATTGACGTAAAGAAACACAAGTATACAGGCTCATTCTGGGTCAAGGGAGCTTATGAAGGCAACTTCACTGCGTCTTTGCAGTCCGCTCTCAACGGTGATGTCTTTGGTAGCGTTGATATTGAGTCTACGTCTCTGGGCGACGACTGGGTTGAGCACGAGATCGAGCTTATCCCAGATACGGACGCACCAAATAGCAATAATACCTTCACACTTACTTTCGACTCAGCGGTATGATAGATCAACCTCAGTACGAAACCAGGGAGCAGTGCACTGACATTATCGTGAAGGGTGTCAAAGACGGTTCTCTCGACTTTAACCTCATCAGCCTGTTCCCGCCCACATACAGGGGACGCAAGAACGGACTTCGGGTAGACATTGCTGAAGCCCTCGAAGAGCTTCACCCAGTAAGAATGTTCTCCGAACCCTATAAACCTAGAAATTTCCTTTCAATACTCCTCGAGCACTAACCCTGCGGCTCCTCAAAGACCTTTTTCCGCTTCCCCGGAGGCAACATGCTGGAAGGAGATTCCATCGACACATGGTGGGACTGGAAGGCCAGTCTCGGTCCTCTTCGAAATCGCAGGGGATTCCAGAACACCTGGGGTTATCAAATGACCAACGGCCTCGGTCTTATGGAATATCTCCTCTGGGCTGAAGATATGGGCATGGAACTGAGTAAGTTCATCATAGATAGTGAGACCACGGGCCCTGATAACTAAGGTACAGTCGTCGGTGTTTACGGCGGTCTCTCGCTTGACGGCTACATTGTTCCCGAAGACGAGCTTCAGCCCTGGGTCGACGACGCACTCAATCAGATCGAGTTCATCCGAGGACCGGCCAATTCTACCTGGGGTGCAAAACGCGCCGAGCTCGGACACCCCGAGCCGTTCGAGCTTAACTACGTTGAAATTGGCAATGAGGACTGGCTTGCAGGCGGTGCTGCGGGCTGGGAGTCGTACAAGAAATACCGATTCCCCACGTTTCTCAAAGCGATCAACGAAGCATATCCCGATATTACCGTCATCTCTTCTGGCGCCACTACCGACGGATATAGAATTCCCGAACCGGGCATCGGTGACTACCACCCTTACCGGAAGCCAGATGAGTTTCTGTCCGAGTTCAATTTGTTTGACAATGAACCTATTCCCCACGTCATTGGTACGTCCCCCTGGTAGAAATTGGAGCCAGAATCAACGTCACTAAGGCAGAATTCTCTCTGCAGGCGAAGTGTCCTCCACCCATCCCAATGGTGGCATCGGTTGGGATGGCCCTCTGGCCCCTTGGCCTTGGTGGATCGGATCTGTTGGGGGAGCCGTCGGCCTCATCAGCTACGAGCGCAACGCAGACCGTATCTACGGCACCTTTTATGTATCTCGAATCCAAGATCCTTTCATCCATCTACAGAAAGTTTACTAATACCTCATCTCATAGGCTCCTATTCTTCGAAACCTGAATAGCTACCAATGGGCGATAACCATGATCCAGCACGCTGCTGACCCGGCTCTGACCACTAGGTCCACAGACTGGTATATTTGGGAGGTGTGTTGCCAACGTATCCATCTCTTCACAAATGTAAACCCCATCATGACGCTTACTCATTGTCCAGCTCTTCGCCGCTCATCCCCTCAAGGAGACCCTCCCCGTCACGGGAGACCTCAACCCCCTCTTCTACGTTGCGGGTAAGAGCACCAAGGATTCACTTGTCTGGAAAGGTGCCTGCTACAATACCACCGACCACGAGTCTGTGCCCGTCTCTGTCTCCTTCGAGGGCGTTGAGACTGGAACTCGAGCTCAGTTGACACTATTAACTGGACCGGAGGACCCATACGCCTACAACGATCCCTGGAGTGGCGTCAATGTCGTGGAGACGACCAATAATGTGTTGGAGGCAAATGAGGAGGGCGCGTTCGAGTTTGAGATGCCTGAGTTGAGTGTCGCTGTCTTGGACACGCATTTCGAGGAGGAATCTGAGCTTGAGGAGTCTTCAAAGTAGAAACCTCCACAATCTAACCGGAAAGGACCGAGGTCTTAGGGCTGGGGAGTCGAGGTTAGGATATGTAGGGAAAGAAATGAATGAAACGAATGAAAAATAAGAAAATACTACAGCATGTGTTAAAAGGGAATGGTCCCAATAGCCCGGAAGATTCTCACTTGTAGTTGACGGACTGACGCTTCAGACCATGTAAACATGAATTATATCCATACACGTCTAGCAAGTGAGCTATGGAGCATCAACGGGGTGGCCAAACATAAAGAACATAAAGAACAAGCTCCTGCCAATTTCTAATCTAATCCGTCGCTCCACAATCCTCCATATCTCAACATCGAAGACCACATCCCCTCTCCCTACCAGAGCATATCAGTAAATAGATATGTAGACTTTGGCTGAGCCCGGCCGACATTCACAGCCAAAATCAGAAGCACTAGAGATGGCAATATTGGCATTCTCACCACATCAATTCGTATCCACTTTGGGCAGGAGAAGTTCATGTTAGTCGGAGGCGCATAGATGCTTGCTTAGAATCGCCGCATCATAGTCTTCACAACGATACAACCACTCATGCTCTTCAGGAAAATAATACTCCGAGTAAGACGGAACAAGCCATGGATCGACGCCGTTGAATTCTTGCTCCCAGGCGCTCTTTCTCTCGTCATCTCGTACGAGGATAAGATTGACGCGACTCGGCCACCCCTCAAACATTTGTATCTTCTTCCGCATGCTGGCGAATCCCTTTGGCGGAGTCCGCATGCTATGCGGCCAGTACTGTTTCCATAAAATCAACAGCCCAGGCCCGTCTTCATAGGGAGAGCTATCATATCTCGAACAATTCTCCCAGATGGTCTTGAACAAGAGATCCCAGAGTTCACCCATGCGAAGACCCTCGGGGAACACTAGGGTCCGGAAAGACTCCGAGTCTGCTGGCATACCATCCTCCTCCTCGAGTCGGGACACTTCGGTGTACCCAACACGTCGAAGGGGAGGTTCAGCCACTTGCATTCGCCGCCAACTAGCATCCTTGCGGGCAAAGGCGTGATGCCTTTTGTATTCATCACGTCTATCTGCCAGCGGACACCCACCTAAGAGCAGTGTCAGAAAGCCAGTACAGGTAGGAAGGGTGCGACGAGGGACATCGATGGTCTGGAAGATAGACGGGAAGAGCTTCTTCAAAAGAGGATTTTGTTTCATCAGAAGATGTCCCTCGTGGCGTTTCGGGGTGGACTTGGCTGCATCATTTTGCTCAAGGAAGAGATATCGTTGCAACGCAGGCGTGCCTATAACGGCTCGCCATTGCCTGCAGACACGTTGGGCTGATACGAGTAAAGTCACCATATCGAGATTCCCTAGAATAGCCTCGAGGAGCTCGGGAGTGGTAAGGGTAGCATGGCAAGCAAGACCCGCAGGCGGCACGCGAGCTACCGTTTGGGCGTCTTCCATGGCTTTCAAGTTCATGTTTGAAAGGCTGGAAATGACGATTCCAGGCTCACGGCTGTGGATACCACTGATTCAAAAGTATGATTGAAAGATGAAATAACGTGGTAGTCTGGACAGGACGTGTACAAACATATGATTTCGAGGATGGGGACAACTTGACCTCAAGGCAAGGTACACTTGTCTAACCCACGAGATTAAGGGCTGTCAGGGATGACATCGGGGAGAAAGAGCTCGAATATATAGTACAGTATACTGCAGGGCGGTAAGGCCCCGGATCGAGCCAAATAAGGTCAAGATAGCGAGAGGACGAGAAAACCGCCATTTGATTTGATACTGGTTAGGATCAAACGTCTAAAAACAGGCATCATCCAGGCAGAAAGGCAGCAGTGAGAAAGTGAGAATAATGGAAGTTAATTGGGGTGAAGTTGTGCGAATTGTCACTGGACTCGGTCAAAATTAGCGACGATTAGCCGTGGCATGGAAGGTGCGATCGCCTGGCCTCAAAGCTGCTCTGTCTGGCTCCCCCACCTCGAGGTAGCATTGCAACTGCGAGTGCTTACTTCGTCCAATCCCGCCAAGGTCTACGAAGTAAGTGGGGAGGAGTTAACGATAACTGATCCATTTCCTATCATCATCTCAATCGCTCATCTTAGCACAATCTCATTCAATGTATCGTTTATCTTGACACCCTCAACCAGCGGCCCTGCGAACGATCTCGAGGAGTGACCAACTCCCGGCAGCCGCCTCCTCAATGACGGTCTCGCGAGAATAGACACCAGTTCCCTCTCAAATACCACTATCTCCCCCCACGAAACCTTCCACACCTTTTTTTTTTTTTTTTTTTTTTTGCCTCTCGCCGCCAAGCATGTCAGGCCTTCCAGAATCCTCCGGCATAGCATCCTCGGTTGGGGACCAGAACCCCGCCGTGGATGTGAAAGTCGGGGTTAAGAAACCTAAGAAGAAGAAGGTTCTACTGATGGGCAAGAGCGGCTCGGGGAAATCGAGCATGCGGAGCATAATCTTCAGTAACTACATTGCCCGCGACACGAGAAGACTGTACGTTCGGACCCTTCCCCCAAAAGTTCTCGATACTCCCACATTTCTGCAGCGACAGCACTAACAAGCTACCCCAGAGGCGCCACCATAGACATCGACCTCTCCCACGTCAAGTTCCTCGGAAACCTAACCCTCAACCTCTGGGACTGCGGCGGCCAAGAAGCCTTCATGGAAAACTACCTCTCCCAACAGCGCGTCCACGTCTTCTCCCACGTCGGCGTCCTCATCTACGTCTTCGACATCGAGTCTCGCGACGTCGACCGCGACCTAGCGACTTACGTCTCCATCATATCCGCCCTAGTCCAGTTCTCCCCGACCGCCCGCATCTACATCCTCATCCACAAGATGGACCTTATCCTCCCTTCCTCCCGCGAGAGCCTCTTCAACGACCGCGTCCACATGGTCCGACAGAAGACGGCCGAACTAGCCGCTTCGCTGGGCCTCCCCGTCGGCGGCGAGGGCGGTCCCCTCGAGATCACACCGTTCGCTACTTCGATCTGGGACCAGAGCTTGTACAAGGCCTGGGCGAGTATTATACACGACCTCGTGCCGAACTTAGCCGCTATCGAGCGTAACCTCGCCAATCTCGGCGTCGCCATCGAGGCCGAGGAACTCCTCCTCTTCGAACGAACCTCCTTCCTCGCCGTCTCGTCTTGGACCTCCGAAGCGGGACAGGATAACCCTACGGAGGACCGTCTCGAACGCATGTCTAACATCATGAAACAGTTCAAGCAGTCCATAAGCCGTTTCACGGGTACGCCCCGCAACGCGGAGCAGTTTGTCTGCATGGAACACAAGGCCGGCACCAGGTTCAGCCTCTTTATCCTCAAGTTTACGACGAATACCTACCTTATGGCCGTGTTGCCTCCCGGTGAAGCGAGGTTCAACGCCGCTATGCTCAATTGTCGCATTGCCATTGAGCACTTTAAGTTCTTGGATGGTCCAAGTACCCCTGCGGCATCACGTGTACCGCAAATAAGTAACTAAAACGGTGCTGAATAACGACGAAGTTCGTGATGGAGAGGACGCGGATGGCGGGGAACCAGAGGCCTCGAACATGGGTTCGTGTATACTATCAGACAATCGCAGGCGGGGAGGGGTAGCTTCGAAGCAGGCACAGTTATCGTGTCTCTGGCGTTTACGGAACGGATCCTTGGGTTTTAAAAATGACAGCGCCACCTAATAGCGAAAGAGGAAAACGGCTGCACTATAGAGTAGACCTACTTTGGAGGGCCTCCCTCATCGTCAGCTCTTCCTCCTTTAGAAAGCAGTATGCCTAATTCATTGGATCAATTGATGTCTATTTTGCATTCCTTCCAGTCCGATTGACCACGCCAACCTTTGTCCGTAAATGCCTATTGTCAAAAGACTCGAACCCTTGGCAGAATTCCCTAAACGATCCCGCCTGATGTCCCTAGAGAGAGAAGAGAGAAGAAAAAGAAATGGATAAACCCAGCTACGCGTCCGACAAAATGCAGAAAATAGAGGCAGAGAGTGCGACTATGTCCACTTGACAAACGCAGTGCCGCCCTTCTTAAACTCAGGCATCTCTCCGAGAACCAGAGCGCGATCGGTGTGGTCCTTGTTTGGGAAGGTAGTGGCGACGACAAAGCCGCGGCTTTGGGTGGCGGGGTGCGCGCGGAGAACGAAATCGTAAAGGTCGCCAACCGTCTGCGTCGTGTTGAACCTGGCGGGGAGTCTAGTTCCATCGGGAAGCTGAACACGGAGGGCAAGTGTGGGCTGAGATGAGTCGACTCCGGTATTGGGCGTGGCAGAGGAAGACGATGAAGCAGTAGCTCTGGCGGCGGCGGGCTGAGAGGTAGCCGGAGCAGGCCTGACATTACCATCACCGGGCACGGGACTACCCAACCTCCTACCCTCGCCACCGAATGGTCTGTAGATCCTTGGGAGTTGCCTCCAAGGCTCGTCATGTTGAGAGATGTGGGCATTTACGGGCTGATCGAACCGGACATTCATCAAATGGAGTGGCGCGCGTCCGCTACGGATTAACTGAAGGGTCTCCTGGTTCTCCGGGTCATCGAATCGGTAGAGCGGGCCATCGTCGAAGCTGAAACCGTCGTGCCAAATGTGGATGGTCCTCTCCTGGGGCTCTCCAGCAGGGGGGGCGTGCTCATGGCCAGCGTGGGGATCAGCAATCCGTCGGCTTTCTACACCATCACCTCCGAGAGTTTGACCAGCACCCCAATGGCGAGTGGGGCGCTCTTCGGTGGCCTCATCAGCCCCCCTCCTAGTTTGCCTATTGGCCAATACTCATGTTAGCAGGATTTCGGATAATGGGCGGAAGTGGATAGAATATACGCACTCTCGAGCCTTTGCAAGAATATCGTTGATGAGTCCTCGTGAGCCCTCGCCCCTCTCGCCACCCCGTGTAGGATCCCTCAGCGCAAGACCACTCTTTTCTCCACCGGCAAACAAATCGCCCCTACCCTTCGCTCCTTCCTCATCCTCATCATCCTCTTCATCAGAGCCGTGTGCGTGCCTGCCCGAGCCGAGTGATGAGAGCGTCGCCACACCACGTTTCTTCTCTTGGCGCTTGGGTTGTTGGGCCCTCGATTGGGAGCTGGAGCCGACGTCTACGGGTCGGCCATCAAGAGTGCGAGGTCCAGTGTAGTTCTCGGGGACCTGGGTCGAAGAGCCTTGCTCGCCAGCTGAATCGTCGCCGCCGTCGGCGTCTTCGAGGAGGGCCTGGGCCGCAGCTTCAATGTTCCAGTCAAAAGCCTCCAGGTACTCCCTGGCCTAATTGAGGCGGGGACATGGTTAGCGAAAGGAAAAGAAAAGCAAAAATCTAGGAAATTCCAGGGCAGATTGTTTCAGTCAAGGCGAAGAAAATGGGCACAAACCGTTTCCGTAGGTGTGCCTGTGAGGGCCTGTAGCCGCGCAAGCTTCTCGTCGTTCGTCGCCATGATTGCGAGGATAGAAAGAAGGGAAGTTAGAGAAATGTAACGAGCTCCCTCTAATTAAAGTTCGAGATGATGTAAATGGTAGGACAACCCGGAATTAATAGAGTCGAGTCAGGTAGATGTCGAATTAATGGTGAAGGATTGAAGTAGAGGTGGCCTGGCTACTGTGGCGGGGAGCTCCTAAGACGGCACTGGAATTTAGTCCAGGCAACTGGTTGATGGGTCTGTGACGTCCATCATTGCCCCTCTTCCTTCCTTGTCTGTCAGGGGGTGCTCAGCAATGTTGGCAACAAAGCTATGACCACTTTCCAGCATGTTTACGTAATCCTTCATTCTCGGTCGAACCTGCAGCACAACGCAATCAGGAGCATCACAAAGCCGACCTCGCTTCCCCGACACTGATCCCGAGCCAACCCCAACAAAGGGAATCCCACATCCTCCGCCGAATCTAAGGAGGGAAGTGTCTGCCAATTCTTGCCATACATCTGTCGTGTCCATCCCGAGCAAGCTCCCCCAGCCGGAAAGCAGCCGAAATCCGTATCCACCATGTCATCGCAAGATCCGTCTAGCCGACTCGCCGAGTCTGGCATCACGATCCATTCCGACAGCGAGCACTACTCCGCCGTTGAAGACTCTTCGACCTCCCCACCGTCTTCCTCTTCGCCCGTCATCCTCTACAGACCCCCCACCGTCTGGTCGATAATACGCGGTGCCGCCATCAACCTGTTCCTTCCTTTCATCAATGGAATGATGCTGGGTTTCGGCGAGCTGTTTGCACACGAGGCTGCGTTCCGGTTAGGTTGGGGTGGTACCAAGGTGCGTACAGGATCTTGCAGTACCTTCAATGCGGGCCTTATCGGAGAACACGTTTAAAGAATCTCGTCGAGACTGCTTCGCTCGGCACTCGTTTCCCTACTAACCAGCGCGTCCAGGTCTTCCCTCTAAGCCGCCGGCGTGCGTATCCTATAGGCCCAGGTGTCGAGATTTCCGAGCGATCGAGGCGAGGTGAGCGCCTCTAAACCACGAGCTTGGAGTGTAAAGAAAGGGGCATGCAGAATTTAAGGATGGTCCAGTCACAACTTTTATGGGAACATGCTGGGATCCCTCGGCCGGATGATGCTTGGACTCGGGTCCGGAGTGAACAATGGTGCCGCAACAGGATGTATATATTGTGTTCTAAAGGCTTTATAGACGGCTCTTGGCTCTGAACATCGTGCATCTGAGTGGGGGTGGTTGATATGTTGCCTACTCGGCCTCCGACATCCGATACCTCTATCTCGTTGATCGAGACGAAGATACTACTAGATGCCAGACTTCGACTTACGCTTACTTCCCAAACAGGATTTGTTTGACTTCGCATCATCGGCCAGATCACTGAATAAGCGGTACTTTCCTGAGGACGGTGCTATTTATGGCCAGACCAGACCAGACCAGACCAAGCCGAACTGGCAATGTTCCCATTCACCACCGTGAATGACTTTATAAAATACTCAGCAAAAATGAGGGCCTTTAATGGAGGAATTATTGTGGCGAATCTGAATGGAAAGGCCACCGCGATGAAGGCATGGCACCCTACTGAGGCAGGTGCCTCGGTTAACTTGACAGCAATCACCATAGTTTCGCTCTCTGGTGCCGCATGCCGCAACACTGTTCAGCATATGAGATCGCCCACGGCCCAAATTCTGAAATCTACACCTCAGCTCATATGGGTATAAAGTTAGACAGACTAATTTTCCACGAGCCAGTCCCCCATTGAGCGGTCAGGATGAAAGAGATGACCAGCCGGATGCGGCTTCGGGGCTCCTCGGCAGATGCCGGATGGAACACACACTGGAAGATGGCAATCGTAGTGCCTCAAGGACGGTCCAAGGAACGTCATTGTTATTCCGGGCAGATAAATTACGTGCAGAACACATCGCAAAGGATCAGGGCACAGGGAAATGAAAGGGAAAACGTAGCATGCTGCTTAACAAGCGATCAAGGCCATTCAAAGCACGAATCCTCCGAAAAGGAAGCGCCCCGGCGAGGACACGGTTGAGGTATCGATCAACTTGGCTCCAGAAATAGGGCCATCAGAGATCAGTATTAGAACCTTAAAGTGTTCTCAAGAATGCGACAAGAAATTAATAGATCTTGGTATTTGAGGACGCAGCTTGAATGGTCATCGTCGTCGGGATGGGTGCGGGAGACAAGATTGTACTTGGTACGAAGTACTTAGTGCTGTAAAATCCCAGGCATGATTGAAGAGCCGACACCAACAAAACGCGACCACGTGATTCCAATTTTTGACGGCTCGTTAACATTGAAATCTTCACTGGCCCAAAAAAAAAGTTCTCGGTAAAAGACGAGTTCGCGATTTTCGGCCGCTGCCACCCTCTCCCCGTTTCGGTATTCCCAATTCTACAACTTTGCGATACCGACCACAATGCTTCCAAGCAGGGGAGTAGTCCAGTCCCTGTCCTCGGCAGCGTCCAGGACAAAGGTCGCGAGCCAATTGGTAAAACTCTCACTCACACCCCCCATCCTCCATTGTCACCTGAGAACCTATAAGCTCTAGATGAATTCTCTGGTTCAAGAACTAACCCCTGTTGATGGCGAGTAGGGTTCTTCTACCCGCACCTATGCGACCGCCCGGATCGGAAATGGCAGGAATCTCCAAAGACTGCCCCTCGGCTCAGCGACCCGAGCAACCCCCCTAAGGACCGCCGCGATCGCCGGCTCCGTCGCCTTCACCCAGATTCCCTCCGCGAGCCGATCCCTCTCCCTCTGGGGCTACGGCTCAAAAAAGCCCGATCCTCCCACCACCACACCCGAAGCCCCAGCGCAGTCTGCCACGCCGGCACAGGTCCAAACTCCTCCCCCAGCCGCCGAGGCCGCCGCCTCCACCACCCCATCCATAGAGCAGACCGCCACGGACCTCGCATCCTCCTCACCTGCCGCGGTCGGCGCCCCAGAGCCCACGGCCGAGCTCTCCAACATCATCTCCTCTGAGCTCGGCAAATACGACTCCATCTCCTCCATCCCCGAACACATCGGCTACCTGCACAGCCTTGGCATCGACTTCGGCTGGGGCACCACGTCCATGATCCAATGGCTCCTCGAGCACGTCCACGTCTACTCCGGCTTCCCTTGGTGGGCGTCCATCCTCGCCACGAGTCTGCTCATCCGCGCATGTCTCTGGAAGCCTATCATGCTGGGCCAGGAGCACACCACGCGGCTCAACATCCTCCGTAGGACCGAGCCGGGTTACGAGCGCGCCACGGAGGCCTGGAAGGAATCGATGGTGAACAAGGACGTCTTGGCTGGTCAGGCTGCCAAGGCAGCTATGAAGGCCCTCGAGGAGAAGCACAAGGTCAACAAGAAGTTGATGTTTGTCAACATGATTCAGCTGCCTATCGGCTTCGGCATGTACCGCATCTTGAAGGCCATGTCGGATTTGCCTGTGCCTGGCCTTGAGACTGGCGGTCTTTTGTGGATCACGAACCTCACTGTTCCTGATCCCTGGTATATCCTCCCCTTCGTCGGCCCTCTTACCTTGATGGCTACAATGAGGGTAAGAAGCTTCCTTCGCCTCTCAACCAGTTTTCCCGAGAGTAACTAACGGTATTTCCCCTCGCCAGATAACAAACCGCCATAACACCCCCCAGCAGCAAGCTACCATGAAAGCCGTATCCTTCATCCTCGTCCCCCTCGGCTTCATCGCAACCAGCTTCCTCCCCGCCGGCGTCCAGCTCTACTTCGTAACCGCCTCCGTTCCCGGTCTCCTCCAGACCTGGCTCATCTTCCAGCCCTGGTTCCGTAGGTGGTCCGGCCTCACGCCCCTCCCCGAGCCCCTCGCCAAAGCACCCGCCGGTTCCGTCTCCGCGACCTCCGTCACCTCCACTCCCGGCATGTTCGACGGCGTGAAGAAAGCCTTCAAGGATGCGTCCGAGATGGCCAACGCTAGGAGGGACGGCTCGAAGGTGAAGAAGGAGAAGCAGAATAGCGAGTCCGAGGAGACGAGGTTGCAGGCTGAGTATTATGAGTCTTTGAGGGAGAGGATGGCTGAGCTGGAGAAGAGCCGGAAGATGAAGCGCAGGCCGTAGAGCGGGAAGTGGCCCGTGAGCGCAATGAATGAGGGAGGAGGAACAGTTGGATGTCATGAGAGAGGGACCTGGTGTTTCCTGCCCTATAAGACAGGCTGCTTCAAGCCTGTCTAGTTCAAACTCCTGAGTGGGTATGTATAATCTGTTTGTATTCCTCATTTGATAGGGAACAGGGGATAGAAAGAGTTGTCCACCCCTTCCCAAGACATCATATGTATATTAGAAAAGGATGGAGATATAGACGGTACATTCAACAGTCATAGCATAAACATCCAACCTCTCTTTCTTTAGCATCCGTTTCATAGAAAAGTCTCAAGTGCAAGTGTGATGGGATCCTGCTGCTTGCGAGAAGTAGGCACGGGTATACTTCACAAGCAATCTTGAAGGGAAAAAGAGAAGAAAGGACCAAAGCGCCGAAGCTCGAGAATTAAAAAAACCCGTCGGTATTTTTGTTTTTTTCGTCATTCAGCTCCACACCAGCATACGTAAGCTCTAACCGTGGACTCATGAAAATAGAGACGAAAGAAGCCATCTAAGAGGCTCAGAAGAAGAAGACGAAGAAGAAGAGAACTCATTACATCATCTCGAAACTGCCATCCCCTATCTCTTCCTTTCTTCATATCAGAAAACAGTTCCATCTGTGTCGATCAAAATCGGCGGCTCCTTCGTGTTTGGCCGGCTGACTTCGGCAATCTCTCGACCACCCTAGAGGTTCGTTAGCAACAACGGACACAAGAGTTGAGGTAGTACGCGCGGGGGCTATCTCTACTGACCTTCCAGCTTCCAGCCTCGAGGAGTTGTGGGAGTGACAACTCATTACCATTAAGCTCGCTCCTCAGCGCCTTGTTGACTTCCACGCAGAGGATGTCTAGGAAGCCAACTGTTACGCCCCGCCACTCAACCACCACATCGTCGCCGGGTTGGAACATGGGTGCCACTTCAACGCCCTTGCTGCCAGTGACGCGGCAGTGTTCGGCGTAATTGTCCAAACCCCTCTCCGCGTCAGCCGCCTTCAACGTCAAAACACCTAGATCAATGAATAGACCACCATTGCGGTATTCGGGGAGACCGGTGAGGAGCTCCGTTCCTGCAAAGTGAATGCGTAGCAAGGATTGCATCGGCTGCATTAGACTGTAGCAGAGCCATTGCGTCAACTTGTGGAAAGGAAGAATAGACTCCCAGGGAGCCGTCGACGAGGCTCCGGATTGGGGGAATGGCGAGAAGGTGGCAGTCGTGGGACTTGCGGTGGGCTGGGGTAGAGATTGGCAAGGCCAGGCATCACCGAGGGGGATGTCGTTGATAGTAGTTCGGGAAGGAGGCCAGATAGATATTAAACCATCCATTAGAACATTCCATAGAACGGGGAGCGGCACGATAGGCATAGAAGTGGCCTGTGTTGAAGGGTGCGAGAGCAAGTATTCTGGAGCCATACAGTCAGCAAAGCCCACCGGGCGCAAACGAACAGTCGACAAGAGAAGGTTTTACCAATCATGTTTCCAGGCCTCCCATCTTCGCCGAAATACTCCTTCTTTTCATCCAAAGCCTTCGACAGTCGGACAAGGAGATCAGCTCGTCCAGGAACCCCGGCCATGAGGTTTCCGGGCCTCGATTGGAGACCTTGGGCGACCTTTTCGGGGGTAAGTTGTGCCAATCCTATCTTGTCAACCTGGAATTTATTGTTGGGGTTGCCAGAAAAGACTCCCTGAAAAAAAGAATATGTGAGCACGTCTGTAGTCCGAGGAGAGGCGATAATGAATGTGCACATACATGCTTGAACATCTCCAGGCTAGCAATAGCAATGCCCTCAGACCGGCGGTATACACGACCATTTTCCGTGCTCTTGTAGCTCCACTCGGTTCCTGCTCCGGCATCAAGCAGGACGCTCACAAGGTATAGGTCGATTAATCGACGGCACTTCTCGGAGAGGTCAACCTCCTGGAACGTAGAAAGCAAGGCGGCAATACGATCTCGGCCGCCAACACAGAAATGTTGATGGCGGCCATGAGGGGGAATATTGGCGAAAGGAGCATCGTAATCACGCTAGATGTCAACGGTAGGTCAGTTATCTAGCACTTTGTGCGCGAGAGAAAAATAACCCCATCCAAGATGTTTAGACTCCAAAGTGGCAATCGGGACAGTTCGTAGCAAATGGCAGCGCAATGCTTACCTTGATAATCTGGGAGACGAAGCTGACGACGTCGGGGAACTTGCCCATATCAACGTCGAAGTGCTTTAGGTCATTCCTTAACGCCTTATCAGTGACCAGCTTGCTCCTCTCGCGAACAGCATTCAGGCTTCTGAGGTAGCCGGCAGGGTCCAGCTGCGGATCTGGGGGCCGTGGCATATCAACCTTGGGCATGTTGGCAGGCGAAAATGGAGACATGGGAGTTGAAGGATTTGTGCTTCCTCCAGATGTCCGGTTTCCGTTAGGGTTCGTTCCGATGGGGGATTTAAGACTCGAATGCCCAGATTTCAGGCTCGCATTGGACTGAGACGGCTTGATGGTCGGGCTCGCATCACCACTCTTGTGGGATTTCTTTCTGCTGAAGAGACGCATGGTGACAGTTGGTGGGGTCGCAGCAGGTGGTTTTGGTGGTAGCAGGAGGGGCACGGTGTAAGACTCCGATCGCTTTTGTGGTTCAAGCTGGGACGCACGTCCGCCTGTTCGCCAATGACGGACGGATGACTTCGAAGCACCGTCGATCACTCGTCAAGATTGCCGACGCGAAGCGATCAACAACAGCGGATATCACTGCGACGGAAGACGACAACCTTAAACTTAATCTCGAGTTCCCGTACGCGTTTCGGCGTGTAGTCGGTCAAAGGGTCGATAAATTTTTTGGGTTGTCTCCGCGCAATGCACAGGCCAAGCTCCAGACTCAACGAGAATTTCTAAGTTTCGGCGGTTCGGTTCGTGCTCCAATCACCAGGCTCAAATTTTCTCCAGGGACGGAAGAAGACTGGCAGTCAACGGGGAATTCGATCTGCCAGCGGACTCGCCAGTAAATATCAAGACCGCCCAAAGAAAAAAAAAAAAAAAAGAAAGAAAAAAAATTGAAAATGAAAACGGCGCTAATGACAACGGGGCCGTTGCTTGGGAGAGGGGGATCAGCCGATTTCACTGCTTGTCGGAGCTGTCCGTAGCAAAGGTTAGTGTTTAGTTAGACCCTCCCGAAGCGCGCTTGTCTCCAGAATCGAGCAGTGGCAAGGAGCGGGTTCCTTGCAGAACAAGGCCACCGAGTAGCTCAACTGGGGCAACTTACACTTTGATTCCCTGGTCGGTGGGGAATTTATAGAAGACAGAGTTTGGGACACGACGATGCCCAAGTTGTCGGCGCGAAAGGTCGGTTCTTATTGGGACCTGAAGAAGCAAGCTGCCCAGGAGCATATAAGCGCGGGAAAACTTGCTTTTAGACCAACGCAGACTGGTAGAGCGCAAGCTCAGTCGATAGGTGAGAGTGGCAAGAAAGATTCTGCAGTCGAAGGCAGGGTTCCTTTCTTTTCTATGTCGACTTTTTTTTTTTTTTTTTTTTTTCCTCTTCTTACCCGCCACCTGGGGTCGCAATTTGGCTCCTCGGTTGCGCCGTAGCACTCGATCGGTTTCCAAGAATTGTGGGTGCGGACCAAGTCGAAGATGAAAATGCTAGCAACAGATTTGGACGCAAGCTCAGAACTGGAATTGTCTGCAGGAAACACCTGACAACCAGATTTTCATCGACTCCTGTGAGCAGGAAATAATGCACTCACGTCGGAGGGAGTCAATTGGGAGATAAGGGCTTGTAGAGAGGGGAGGGACGATGGCAACGGGACAGCAGGGCAGCAGGAAGGTGGGAGTATTAAGATGGGCAGATTCTACATGCAGGAGGAAGGCGCCGTAGTCTTATGAGTGTACAATTGACAAGGCCTGCAAGGAAGGAGCCAATACAACCACCCCAGGCGCTCTCGCCCTCTCCTTCTTTGTAAGTACACTACAATTGTCTCCAGTCTGTCGGCTCTATGGAGCAAGCTAACGAGCAAAGAGGAAAGAGGGGGTTTATCGATTGTGGTATGGATCGGAGCAGGTTCTCTCAGGGGCCCTATAGCCACGTGGTAACGGGCGCTGTTGGATGTAAACTTGCATCCAGTTGAGTGCTCTCCTGGTCTGGTTACTGGCACGAGGAAGTACTCAAAGCCTCAACTGCGAGTCTCAGTGTATAGGCAGCCAGGAATCTGGTCCTTCCTTCGTATAATCAGAGGTTCTTCGCAATGAGGGGTGATAGTCTCAAGAAAGATCGATCTCAACTTCCTCCTGAAGCAATCGGTACCCGGTACAAAGTACAATCAATTGAGAAATAGAGTAACATCGAATTTGTGAATTCATGTACGAAGTACACTACACTCCTTCGTACATCTGCGCCAGGAGCACGACACTGAAGAGACATTGCTCGATCCCTGTCTCTTGATCCCTTCTGGAAACACAGAAGAGGAAGGGGGAGTACGGCGCGGGTCAGGGGAAAGGGTTCCACTGGCCAGAGATTGAGGGGTGTCGTTGCAGATCAAGGTGATCCTGGTACCCACTCGGAATTGCTAACTCAAGGGATCTATTCAGGACACATCCCTGCAGCTTTCCGCCCTGGACCTGCTCAACAGACCACGTAGTGAGCGACTTTGAAGGACCTCGTAAATATGAGTACAAATCCAGTGCCTCGTAGTGGATAAGGTACTGAGAAAATGGGTGATGAAGCCGGGTGGTTGCACTAAAACTACAAGTACTTGGAGTGAGTCCAATAGTCTGCTGTCTTGTTGGTGACCATGAGTTAGTGTGGAGGTGTACTTTTACGTATCAAGTACTTAAACTATACGAGGTCATGGGCCTATTAACCCGAAAATATTATGTATTTCAGGAGTACTGGATACAATCGTATAGGTCTGGGCCAGGAACAAGCTCTTTCGGAGTACTTCGTGCGTCGCAGTACTGTCCTCGTACCTTTTCAATCAACGATTCACTACGAAGTATCAATGTACGAAGTAAACCACAGCAAAGGAAACAGAACATTGAACAATTGGAGGATGTTAGGCTTAGGATTAATGGCCAGCCCGTCAATGGCCTGGCATTTTCCGCCCGGTGAGTAGTTTCGGTTTCGGTCCGTCATAGCCTCAAGTGTGAAACTTCGTCCTCCTTCCGAATTTGATAAAATGAATCAAGTTGAACACACTACACTAGTACTCACCTTATCCTGTTGCTCATACACTACGAAGTACTTGGTAGATTGATATCAACGACAAAATCGCTGGCGAGGCGGCCAAAGCTCATGCTGTTTCCTACACTTGCGCAGGATGCACCCACGAACAAAAACAACGGGCAAGTAGCACCCCGGCCAAGGTCGCAGGCGTACGACTTGGGTGATCTTAACCTCATCCCACTGCTGCTGCCGCTTTCTTCAGTCCACAGCAGATTTCAAGTGTGCCAACCACCATTCCTGTCCAGTCTCTCTTTTCCCTCTTCTCCCCCTGACCGAGGAGCCATCGTCTGTGGTGAGGATGGAAATACCTCGTCAGAGTCCTTATTAGTACCAAGTATTAGGGCACAATGAGATCGTATCAGATCCGGCATCATCTCCTTTGTTGTGTACGAAGTAATTGCGGCGCGAGTGCATCACTCTCTCGCTAACATGCCCGGCATTTGGAAGAGATCATCAGTGTTTCGTTAAGCCCATGTTCTCATTAGTTTGCAAACCGGGCTGTTTCTTCGAGTGGGAGCTCTGTCCAGTTTGGGTAGGTGGATAGATCTCTCTCGTTAGTCTGCACGGCTAGTGTCATCCATACCTCTCCAAATCCTCCAAATCGTCAGTGCTCTCCCCCTGTCATCTCGCAGTGGACTGTGCAAAGTAGTCTCTAAGTCCTCCGACGAACCAGCCAGGCAGTTGCCAGATGCAGACTCAGTAAGTATGCCCTACAAACGAAGTATGCCAGGAGGGCGAACGGGGAGGGGAGGTGCGTTCTTGGCGCATCCCGCTGTCACAGATCGCAGAATTCCACGTGATGGTTCAATACGGTTATCCTCACGTCTCCTTTACCAAGTCATCAATAACACGTCGACTAATTGATGTCGGGAGATCTCATCATCCTCTAGCCTACGCATTAGGAAGCAATTAGTCCCTTCTCTCGTGATATGGACTGCAACGATCGGTCCAGAAGCATAACGGAACCCAGGTCGAATGGTGAGGAATCCAAACTGTCGGGTTAACCGCTAAACCAAGGACGACAAGATCAACGGTGATCCCCTTGTCAGGACATAGCCAGTGCAATTTGATGATGAACAACGAAGAAGCCGCAGACCCCAGTACGAAGTACGCAGATAGTACTACTTTTGCACAACGTACACTTGGGCCGCTGGACGATCCCCTCGGACTTCAGAGGCCTCGAATTACACCACAATGATCAATCGGACTACTGGAGAAGAAAAATGACCAGATCATTGAATCCCACGCCGCGATCTCCATTAACGGCGAAAGAGGGGCCAACTATCAAGGCTTCGTAGTAATTACACACCACTGCACTACGATTACACTTCCAGAGGTCTGGGCAGCGCGAAGCATAGAGCAAAGCAAAGACTACGAAGGACTATTGGCCTACTAGTACGAAGTGGTATAATACTGCACAACACCCCAGCAATCTGAATTTAGTGCATCTCAGGCTCTTCACACCGAGTGGTAGAGCGCCCCTAAAATGGAGCTGCACAGCACTATGTTCTAGTTGATGCATTAGTCCGGTACGGCTCCGTGAGCCGGGAAATTGGACTGGGTCTTCTGAATACGACCCTCCATTCCTCTCCCCCCTCCCCCATCCCGCAGCATTGTCCTGCAAGGGACCGTTTACCTCAGACCAGATACAGAACTGTGCTCCGCGTGCTCTGCATCGTCAGAGCAAGGAAACTCGGTTATGATGTCCGGACCCTCGGGAATCGGACCACTGATGCGTGGTCCGTTATTCTTTACATAGAGCCGAAAAAGAAGAGAGAAAATTTGAAAAAGAAAAAGAGCTGGCGAGGAGAGTTTACATGTAGCAATTGAACTCCCAAAATGTTGAGGCTTCGTAGCCTCTCCCACACAAACCAGGGCAAAATACTACAAAGTAACTCAATGTTCGGCGCCCCCAAAATCGGCCGTCAACCCAAGTAAATCGGAACGGACTTGTGAGTCCTCCCGTCTTCAATAAACCCCAAGACGCCGCATGGACATTATGGCGCATGACTTCAAGCAGCTTGCAAGATCGCGCACCGACACAATATCATTGTCCTGTCCTGTCCAATCCATTATGCAGGCGGCTGCGGGGAGCTACCCTGGAGAGCTCAGACCAACGACCTCCCGTCAAACTTGCTTTCGAAGAGGCGTGGATGAACCAGGAGGACGTGAAAATAACCGACAACAGTGAAGCCTCAATATTCGCACGGATTTACAAAGTAGAGGGGTTGATAAAAGGAAAAGAAAAAAAAAAAATTTGACCCGAGGTCATCGTCGATGATACCCTCACATGCTGTGAGGACATACAAACAGATCGACGGAACACGCAAGTTCA